AATTTATCTTGGAGTGTCCCCACACATAGGTCTCGATTTTAGCGCATGTATGACTCACACATCCGAGGTATAAATACACACGCGCAAACACCACACACGACACAACGACACCAACGTGGTTGACCTCTGAAGTAAACGCTTGTGTCCGTCCTCTCCGGCCTTTTTTCCTTCATCGCGGGTATCAGGCAAGCGTAATCGGGCCAGGGTTAATTCCGTGGCCCCAGGGTGGTTCAAGACCACATGCTGGGGCCCACAACAATTGGTGACTCCGACGACAACAATTATTTAGCTGGCTTGACGCTTGACTGCATCACACGTGATGCTGTGGAGCAAGTGCAAACGTCCAAAGACTCTAGTTCCTTGTCCGGCTCCGAATGAGAGGCATTTCAGACTGAGGTTGGCATCTATGAACAATGGGCTGGCACACATTTGGCTGCCCTGAGGGTTAGCGAGTCTAGTAATTCCACTTAACCTTAGTTGCATCAAAATCCCAATCGATTTCTTATTAGGAAGATAGCTATCTACAAAATTATGTGAATCAGGTTTATGGATTTTTGTTCAGAAAATCGGGTCACACCCAGGACTTAATCGTAATTATTGAGTGTTGATTGTCGATGCATTTAGGATTTCAATAAGCTTCAGTAGTGGTTTGGCAGTGACGCGTGGCATTTGCATCAGACAAAGTAGGCGAATTTTCAATGATTTAGAAAAATCATCCATTTTCTAAATGATGATGTATGATTAATTGACGAACAGACAGGGGTTAGGATGCCGTTTAAAGAACAATTCAAAAGACTATTCTGACTCTCGCTTTTCAAATTGCAATTGCTGATCTTAAAGCAATTATTAGGGCATTGTACTTTGGTGTAAGTGTAGAGAAATATGCTCCCAAAGAAGGCACAATCCAGCGTTGTCTGCATTGCATTAACTCGCCACAAAGGCGTGCTTTCGGGGCAGACTAGCGTGGGGTGAGCATCAGGACTTTTGGGGCCACTTGAATCTTCCTCGGTTCACACGATTCGCATGCTTCACAGAAGGCCATCAACAACAACTTCTTATGAGAACGTGTGGCATTTTTTGACACGAACTAGTCTACCCTTAAGGAAAAATGCTAGTTTGTGACACCAGAAGACAAGGTGAGTGCCTTACACGGATGGCTGAGTGCAGCCACGGCCTCCGGGACGACGGAGAGGTTGGCAAGGAAGGATGCGAACTGGTACTGGCAATAAGCGAACTTTATCAAATGGTCCTTGGGTTTAAAGGAAGGGAAGGGTGTGAGGTCACGGACCGCGGGGACGTCGAGGCACATAAGCAGATCCAGGTCAGAGGTGGCGGCCTCAAGCGCGTCCATTTGGAAACATGAGGCAAGCAGAAAGACAGCGGTGTTCTCTAGCTTACTCACAGTATGTTGCAACAGATCGAGAGACACATTCGATGGCGAGATAGACTTCAAAAAAGGTGTGAACTATAGGAGAAAGTTAAAAAGTGTCCGAATTCCTTTGTTTGGTAATTCTTTTGGAGACTGTAAAGTCCTTCATCACTTGAACGAACTTTTACATGGCATTTGTAGTTTTTTTTTAAATTAAGCAAAGCCTCATTAAAGCAAATCTTGGTATGTTTCATTACCAAATGCAAATGATCTACCCTAGGCTTAGGAACTGGAAGGCCAATGTATCTACAAATGCATGCCTCAAAAATTGTGAGTAAGCTTGGGCAAATTTTCATAAGAAGTTGTGTAATTTATTTCACTCGATTCGAAGATCGGTTCCCAGTGGACAGTAAGGTCGGTTGACGCATGATGTTCCAATACACACAGCTGAAATTTGGCATCACCGCTGACTTATTGAACCGCTGTACAGGGAAGTTCCATCACAAGACAGAACACGATTATCAGATGATAACGGACCTGGGTTCGTTTGACAAACCCGTTCTGAGGCTAACGTTCCAAATGGCGGTTTCTTCGAAAGGAAAGGAAGTGCATAAATTCACTATACTTTATACCAACTTAATTAAATTGATGGTCCTTGGCTCACATCAAAGGAGCAATCAGACGACGCTCATGCAGTAGACACCCAGTGTTTGTGATTTACGCACCGAGCCCAGGATCCCCAGAAGACTTGGAAAAAAGACTGCCTTATTAATGCAATATAATAATCCACTAGGTTTGACAGTGGCGAGAAAAGACCCAATAAGTAGTGATTCAGTTTTGCAGCCAATAAGTAAGCACACAAAAAGTTAGTGACTCACGCGTCGTTAAAGAGTGCGACTACGATACGAAAGGCTTTTGAACCCTCACCGATCGGTGATGATGCTCTAAGCTCTTTAGTTTGCATCCTTTAAAGAATGCAACCACATTACTAGGCCGCATTAACGTGATGTTGATTGACTGAGTTAACACTTGCAATCACTACCAATAAGGCGAAATTAGCATTAAAAAAGGCATTTTATCGAGAGGAAGGCGTTTAATTCATTGCTGCCGACCGACAAAACGCACAGAAGCAAAAAGTCACCTTGCTGTAGAAAGTTAATAGTTCGAGTTCTTCCATTAGAGGCTTGAGGTGATTGTCCGAACCAGAACGACGAAACGGCAGTCTGGCGTAAAAAGACTCGGGCAAGTGAGCAGGTAAATCAAGCTAAGGGAAAAATACAAAGTCACATTAACTTGGCGATCGAAACAAACAAGCCTCAGGAGCACACGAAAGGTTTCAAATAAAGTCACTGTTAAACATCGACAAAATAATGCATAAACCAACGCAGTGTGATTAAAGTTCAACTAGTTTTCCTAGTAAGAATCCAGTTTTGTGAATGTCAGATTAAAAAGTAGTTTCTGCAGCGACTTGTGCATTTTCCATCGCAAGTAAATTTCGATACCTGGAGAAGGCGAGAGATGGAGATGAGGGACAAACAATGGTATGGTGCAGGGTATTAGGCTTAGAAGAATGCAGCAATGTGACGCCTCGTATGAAGTAAAGTAAGACCTCTAAAATCTTACACTGGAAGCGATGCTTCTGATGATGTCCATTGACTCAGCGAATGAGCGGTCTACCTCGGCAACAATGACCTGCTCCTGAGACGACGAAGGCAGGATGAAACTACCCACGGCGCTTAGCATGCGACGGAGAATAGAGCTGCTAGCAGAGGCCATGGATGGCTCCTAGGATCAAATAAAGGAGGGGGTTATAGGAATAGACTAAAGTTGTAAACAAGGCTTTTATGAACTTAGTAAACTGACAAAAGGAAAATACAATTTCGGCAAATGAATCAAAAATTGCGAAACCAATTTGGAAAAGCGTGCTGCTCTTGGCAACTACAATCGTTTCGGAGTTGTTCGATCTTTATAACATGCCAGGCTAATGTGTGTCAAGAAAACTGTGGTGGATCAGAGACAAGCAAAATGATGAGACCACACTGCCATGTAAACAATTTCCTTAGTTATATGGAGCTGGCAGAGGAACCGAAGTTATTGGAGTAAAACTGTGACAAACCCATTATTGGGAAATTGCATTGATTTATGAGTAGGAATGCTAATTACAACAGAAGTAGATTCACATGGATTTACACTCGAGTCAGTAACATCTTGCAATTAAACGTTAAGGCCGTAAATTCTACTTGAACAAGAAAACGAGGCTATTACTTCCGCATTCACTGGCAACTATGGTAAATGCGAGGCAACAGCAGTTCGAAATATTACTAAAGTATTATGAATTAAAGCTATTGCTGTTGCCTGATGCCATTACAGGTTGCGTCTTCATTTCTGAACGACACGTTTTCAAACTGGAAAAATATGTGATACATAAGCATAGTGCGCAAAAAAATAAATTGTGTAAAATCAAAAACTAAATACACGCACAAAGTAACGTAACTCCGCGAGATTTAACTCCACGAAATCTATGTTTCATTATTAACCGGTAAATTTTGAACTCTCACAAGAAAATGTGTCACCCGAAATATACATACATTTTCTAACGATTTAATCAACATTTATTCAATGGTAAAAGTTAAGAATGATAGAGCGCTTAGCGGACCTCGAATGTCGAATTTTGTGTTTATTCTTTCAACTATGATGCATGACCTTTATACTGAAGTAGCTACTTTGAGAATTTGAGACCGATTTAATCAAGACGTGACACTGCTAAAATTAAATCTAATCCTTCTGCAACACACTCAAGCCAAGATTAGATGGGTGAAAGTTATAAGACGTACACATTGTAAAGCAGTCACAATTTCTCGAAAATAAGCCGTTTGTCCTACTCTTCTTTCTACCAGTAATTTAAGGGTTTCAATTTTTTGTAAAAGCCTGTAACAAGACCATATTTAGTAACAAATACGTTCATAGGCTATACCAAGGTTGATTGGAGAATATTATGAGTTATGGGTTTCCTCCACAAGGCAGATCCATTTGTGACCGGTTTAAGTTTGTACTTCTGCGAAAACCATGACTACGTGGCTGGTCTGGAGCGCTTTGCCGACAAACGCAACCGAGGCTGCCGCAGATAGAGAACTGTGCAGGAGATGCATGCATGAAGTTAGAGTCGGGCAATTTTTTTATTTATATATAAAATACGTGTCATTAAATACCTCTCGCCAATAACACTTTGTCTGGACTTCGGGCCATACTACTCACTAATAGAAAATCACTAAAAATGCAGAAAAACCCCTTTGGTTTGATTAGTTTGTATAACATTATAGAATAACTTATCTGGTACCGAAAATCCAAGTACTCAGAGAACTGTGAGTGATTAAACAGTTAATGCCTATGATTCTAAGTCAAAAACAACCGAATTATCGCGTCGATGCACATAGGAATGGCCACAAATACCCATTTTGTGTAACGCATCACGAGCACATGACGGTCCCACGACGATGCTCACCAGAGCACGCATGTGAATCTATTAAAGCCCCATTCCGAGCAGGTGTGGCCATGATGGATACTGGGAAATCTTTTGGCATTTGTGTGGAGTACTTTATCAAATGTTGTCCCAACATGATGTCTAAATACCAAGTAGCAGGAACTGCATTCCTAAATAACCCAACCACGTAAGCTAAGACATACCAAATCGTGGTATTAAGCTGACAAAAACAACTTCTTGGTTGCGTGGTTTGTGTTTCTCCTTTGACATATATTTGACGTTCGGAAATTCCTTAAACTTAGTGAATTCGTTGGAGGTTGACTACACATTAGTCGTGAAACTGAATCGTTTATAACTCAAAAATGCTGACAATTTTTAGGGATCAGGCAATCTATCCACCATGAAGACAAATCTCGTGATTGATTAGGGTGAGCTTACGTGGCGAGGTGTAGGGAAAATGTGGCTAATACTCGTCATTGTTTAAATAACAGGATAAAATCCCTTAACCTTGGGATAATTTCTGCGTTTACGAATGTTACTTTACATGATTGTCACAGTATCCAAACGAGGACCGAATTTATACGCACGTTCGTTAAAAAAGTCAGGCAGCTTTTCCAATGTTATTACGTGAAAACGAAAGATGACCGTGGAGGAGAGGAAGAAGTGGATAAATGCGACAAAGCACTGAAATGTATCTTGTGAGCAACAACGGCAAATAACTGCAGTTTGGCTTAAAATTGGACATCCGAGCACCAACAAATAATGAAATAAGCATGCATATAAGCGATGGAGGTCAAACAGCAGACATGAAGTGAAGAACACACTTACTACGGTTGGGCTGTGATTGTTGCAATAAGTTTTGCCATCACGTGTGTAGACAAGACTGATGACGATTATGCAATGATGTCGTCAAAAACGAACACTACACACGATGATACTGTGTGAGTCCTGCAGTAATCGGCAACCAATCACTTTAAAGCATATAGTATACGCAAGAATTTCTTTTCTAGCGTAGAAAGATTCAATGGTTTGTGGTTAATTTACTACTCTACGTCCAAAGCGTATCAAGACCGCACATCTAACGATTACATGAAAAATTAAAAAGTATCCTGAGCAGCTTTTAGTTCTTGCCTCGAAATATTTGCACAATGCTTACTGTATGATAGATTATCTGTAATATCGCTTCTTCTGGCTCGTCAAACACACTCTAGTTTATGACAAAACCCGGCGCTATAACACGAACATTCGATCACCACCAGAAACAGAACATTTAATCAAGAAAAACTGACAATTGTGGTTTATTTCCGACCTAGGAATATTCAACACAATCAGATAATTCGAGCCAGCACTACAAAAAAAATAGCAAGACAAGCATGAATTGACTGCAAATTTGCAGTCACAATGGTTCGTTTACACAAACTTTGAACAGTCAATGAAAATCAGTCCTTATGAGAAAAGATGAGGCATTTGTAACCGCACTTGCGAAATACCCACTGCTCCAGGTCCGGCACTTTGCTAATAAAATCGAATGCATCAACGTCCCGACCACCTAGAACCTCGCGACAACTGCGATAATGGATACTTATTTTGAATTCGAAAACAAAATCGGTAAGTAAATTGGTTGCAACTTTAGTTTTGGGTCGTTAACAACTTGATACTGGCTATACGTGATTCCAAATACAGGAACCGCCTTTTGCAAATCCGATTTTTTTTTACAAAAATTAGTGAAAAGTAAACACCGAAGAAATTAAAGCTGATTGTTCACAGCAAAATGATAAGGGGCAAACAGGATCTTATGATTTAGAATATGATTTGAAAACAGTCCAAAGTGATTGACCAAACGGAGGGTCTGGGAAAGTAGTACTTGTAGGCGAAATTGGCATTCAGTTAAACACAACTTCGTGATTCAGAAAGCCCATTCAACAAACACAAGGGACAGAGTCACAGATGAAAGTCGTGATATTTGGACGAAATAACCCAAGGAAAGTCAACATTCAAAAGTTGCTAGAAAAGCCAATTTTGACTAACCGAAACGGAGTGCCCTAGAAGAGCCATGGATGCATTTAAATTTGGTTCATCATGCTCCGCCTCGCCCTTCACTGTCCCTTCCTCCACTTCTAAGAAAGACGAATCTGAAGAATGCCGTTCCTGCATAAGAACAGAGAGGAGAGGTCTACTTTCACCCTGTCTTCGCCGCTGCCGCCGCCGCCGCCAATGAGCCATAAAAAGGGCCCTGAAAGAGACAAATTACACATCCCCACACACAGCTTATAAGTCAGTTTAGGAGAATGATCGCACTTTACATTGATCATAGTTTTTGAGCGCAGTCTGCCCTCAAACCGCGACCGATCGAAGCATACAGCTTGTTGCGTCGAGGTGTCTGAAATTTACGTGAGCTACTACTAGCAAGCAGACAATCAAAGTATCCTACTACCTTATTTTTATTCTTGAAAGTAAACTAGTAAACTGCTCACAAAACTTGCACTTTATCTATTTGTACTATCCGCGCCAAAAAAATTCACATAATGTCATGTCAGTTAGTTCTCAGACAAACGATCGCTGCAACGTGATGACCGATGAGTATGTGGGCGCGCTACAACATGAATTGAGTATTTTGAGAACCCAAGTAGGCTGACCTCGTTAAACATGATACCTAGTTTGAGGGTAAAAAAAGGACAGTAGAAAAATTAAAATCGACACATTTCAACAAAATCATTAAAATTGAAGTATTATCATGTAAGATAGATTATAGAATTTTCCGCATTTATGAACTTGTCATTAGCATGTAACAGGTTGGTACGATGACACAAGTCTACATTTTTTTCTTGCCAGTTTTCGGATCAGAAGGCATATACACTTCTCCTGACGTCATCTGGACACACCATTGCCACAAGAACTCATTGACTGTACGAAGTTCTGATCGAATGCGGAGATGGATTATGGCGAAGCATAATAAAATACGCGGAGTTATCCCGGCCATCAAAGTGCTGTTCCGTCAAAACTCGAACATACGAGATCGGAGCTGTTGCATCAGGCAACGAACTGCGCGTCATTACACTCACTACCCTAACCCTAACCAGCCAGGGCGACAGCGATATACACTTAGATCCAAATATTTGCAAGATGTATGCTGTAGGCAAAGTAACTGTGGGCCATGAGTGCGAGCTCTGTTTGGACCATACGAAAGGAATCCTTATAAGGTCACAGCGTTCAACGGAGATATAGAGGCTTTTCACTCCGGTGCCTATGGAAACAGCACATACTTACATGGGGCCAATTTACAATTACTGAGAAAAGACGCCCCTTTATTTTTGGGGATTTAGTTGCAACATTCGTGGTAAAATAATTTCACCCACACAGCAGCAAGAGGTTTCACGAATTACAGCTATGGAAGCGAAGACCACACCAGAACTTTGATTACACAAGATCACACACAGGTGTTGAAAACATCGCTGAAACAAATCAGTCTTCAGGATATTTGCGACTCAGAAATATGTCATTTTTCCCTAGTCTATATTGTTAGTGTTATCATATGAGTGTTAAATTCGACCTTTTCCAGACGGAAATTTTCACCTCGACACCGAGAAGAATACAGTAGCCAAATTTCATATCTTATGAATATGGACGAACCTGATGTCTATGGATCAATTGCGCACTACAACCCACTTGCCACGGGATCACATACGACTAATATGAACTCGAGAAGTTCCTTCAACATGTATTGTGAAAGGTTTTGCCGAAAGAATAACATCCGATGCAATTAGAAAACCAGTAGCACATCAAAGAATACCACACATAATGTCGCTGATTGAATGCACAACTTTCTTGAGCCATTCATTTTCGAAGTAGTTTACTCAGATAGAAACGGTAAATTAAAAAATAGCCAAGTTCAAAACAAAACGAAACTCACCCCCAAACGACCGAAAAAGAAATTGCGCGAGCCACTAAATAAACAGAAAAATCGAAATTCAGTGACGAAACAAGAAAGATCTTAGGGTATGAAACACGACCTGGAAAACGAACCAACATCGGTCATATCAAACAAAAACCGATATGGATGAGAGGTGGCCAGTGTGGGTCAAGTTTCGTTACGTACGCTTTAAGTGAGGCCTAGTTTTTTTTTAACTGGCGGTTAATTACAACAATTGATTTTACAACATCCATGTTTTTTTGTAATGGCATTATTGGAAGCAATTTTTCACAAACCAAATAATCATATCTTATCATGTAATTGGGTTTTACTTACCGTTGGTAGAAAACGGCATATGCATACGAAAAGAGAAGGGGTTACGTCCTTTGTCACATATCTAAAGAGAAAAGATGGCAAAACTGACTGTAAAAAAAGTACAATGTGCAACTGAGTCACTTTAACTTTGTTAAACGAAAAAAAACTTATCTATTAGCAACCATGATCTTCATAAAAATACATGATAGACATTAGGCCAGGTGACATATGCCTGGGTAACGTACAACCACGCATACAATTACAAATCGGCAGATTAGACAATAAGAACCGGTCGCAACCTTCTGACCCTTCTACACGCAGTGAACCCTTGTGGTAGGGGCCGAACAGGATTACATTGGTGCATGCATGCTGTGTTTAAAACTTGCAATATTTTGGTTGAACAAAAACGTAGTGAGATTGATTTCAGAGATGCAGGGAAATCTTCCTGTTTAAGGGATTGAAAAACGGATGACTGTAATTTGTTGTCGTAAACAACAGCTAGAAGATCTCGTAGTAAAAAAATCTACTCACGTTGGGCACTTAACTGATTGTGAATGAAAAAAGGCGTCAAGACACCGCTTGCATTAAAATAAATCTGGGTAGAACACATTTACTTTATCATCGATGATTTTAAAACCTGATAAGGATCGCAGATTAGACGCCTTTTTTGAGCCACTGGACCGGCCTTACGCAAACTCAATTAAGCTGAATAAGACACAAAGAAATGCCATCATTTGTATACGCCGACTAATTACGGAGAATATGCCTGAGCGAGGATTATAGTAAAACGCAAAAATATGGTAACATGTAATCATATGAGACCATTTAAGTCTCAGTTAGCTGGGAGTGGATTTAAGGGCATGGCACTGTATAAGGACGACAAAAACATGAAAACTAGCCACATTACGAATCACGTATAACTTAAGGACCCAAACGTCTATAAAAACTAAAAAGTTAATTCAGACGACACTAATTTTTAAGGTAAACCCAAAAAGTAATGACCCCAACAGGACATAATTCGACGGGATGAAAATTATTTCAGACTTAACTAAAACAACAAACGACAGGGCTAACCAGGAGAAATCAGATACAATTAGGATGCTCAGCAGAGATCAATAACAAGCACGCTACACAATTTCAACGAGCGGAGAAAACGACAGACCATAAATGTGACACCGCTTTATTGAGACCGATAGAAAAATATGGAATATCTTCAAGTGTTTTACAAGTAAATTTCATTCGACCATCGACTGTGTATAAAGACGATCAAAATTGACAGTAAGATTGACGGCATATCCGTAGCGATCGAGGTCAAACTTGTTGCTGGCTTCACGTGGGAAGATAATAGGTTCTGATGTGGCCTGAAGTTCGTTTGCGCTCGTAATGAGGCCTTGAACCTCGACAATGCATGACTCCGGAGACACCTAAACAACGTAATACTACGTAAGATCCAAGTATTAAATCGAAATACCTGGAGTGGAGACGGAAGAGTACACTTGACTTCAACACCGTCGGCGCACCGTAGTGAAATTTGCTGTCCAGATGGAACAACTGAAACCACTTTGCCTAAAACACAGACCTCCCTCCCAATCAGACGTGGAATCAACGATCCGACAACCCTAAAACGCGCTGAACGCTTTTCTTGATCCATGAGAATTCTATAAAATTAATGTTGGTTAAATTTTGTAACTGAGGGAAAGAACAAATGTTGTCAAAAGACTGATAGAAAATGTGTATTCAAAAAATTCAAAGCATTGCACAAGTGTCAAATTTTAAAGCCGAGGGAACGAAGGCAGGCCAAATGAGCATCTATCAAATCTTTGCACTTCTCTTCTCCATGGCGAACAATACATTCATCGCGAACTTTTCGAGTTTCTGGACAGGCACAGCAGGGCTTTAGTGGTTTTCCATCTGGGCCAAGCGGAAGCTTGTCTTCGCCATGCATTGCTAAAAATGATTAACCAAAACACAATGGGGCGGGTGTACAGTCGTGGAAATCAGGAGAAGTGCAACACATTTAATAAAGAATTTTATTTGCGAGCTCCGAATATGTAAGATCCAACACGAACCATGGTGCTACCCAAAGCAATCTACATAAAAAAATATTATTAATTCTGAAAGGAAGTTACAGCCATTTCGTAATCTGTAGACATTCCCATACTTAAATGAAGTGAATGCTCGGGAAGACCAAGTGACTCGCACACTTCTTTTCTGCAATCACGAAGCCGCTAAAAATGTAATACATAAAAGTTAACATACTAAGAAGTCAGGATTAGGTCCAAGGCCTGGATCATATTCATATTTTCCAATAGTCATTAGGCCACACAGATGTAAGTGCGAACAATGATCAGAAATAGACTTGTACAAGCTAACAACATCCGATACAGGGACACCACCCTTCTCTGAAGCGGAATTGAGAAAGGTGTGCGAGCCTACGTTCCTCTCCACTTGTGTTGACTTGAATTAAAACATCGAGAGGTTTTACGGAAACATTTTGCCATGCATTGTTAAGTAATGTCGCCATTTTCATTGTAGATATGGTTTCAACCATTGCCAAATTTGGGACAGCTTAAAACGTATAACCTACGTGATTAGCTACTACCTGTTAACATCTTGATTTTATTTGACTGCAATCTTCCAATAAAATGCCAACGAATTTCTGGACACGAAACTCTAAGCTACAGAAGTAAATAAGGTCCATCAATACCGTACCTCCTCGTTCGTGCTCTTCTCAACCAATTCTTGAATCTAAATGGGGTCAAAAATATGAAATGTGCTACATAATTTTCTCCAAATGCTCGTTGACCAGCATTGTATGCTTCAATAACGCATTCGGGAGGTTTGGTCTTAGAAACTGCAACTAATTGAGGATAAGGCTGACCACTGTGTTCCACCTAAACGACAAAAGCGTTATACTAAAATGAATACCTTTGAGAAGGCCGTTTCTATTTTCTGTAAAACGGATTCGATATTCTTTGCTATCGGAACGGCATAACACCCCGACATTAACGATATAGGGAGATCAGAAACACTAATATAAAAAAAGCGCCGTCCAGCTTAGACTATTTAAATCATCAAAACATTTCACCTGGGCAAAGCAAACGTTGAATGAGTGGTCTTTAAAACTAATGACAATACAGTAAATTGTTTTACCTGATTTCCATTATTGATGGACAACTTGATAAATCTTAATTAAAACGATTATAAATGCGTGATTAAATGCAATGAAAAAATGCAGGAAATTTTATGAGGCTACTTATTCTGCCGACCCCAAAAAGACTCCTCGGTGCCCTAAATTAATAGCCCAGACACAGTGAAAACCTTCAAACGCTCATGGCACTCTAAGAAAATATCAGTTCACATGCCAAATGAGACATCAAATTTCCAGCAAATATTCAACCTGATTCTATGTCCTGAATAATAGATTGTTCATAAGATCTTTGCTTTATCCCTTTGCACACTTCATTGCTTCGAATACTTAGGCCTTGCCATATTTCGTTGAAAATGGGACAAATTTCATTAATTGAATTAGTTTTCAAAAAAGGCCACCATTTTGGCAACCTGTCATTAGATTATCTTAAATAGTGGCATAAATATATGACATGCACTTTGAAATCGATTTAAAGTTGCGTAGTGGGACTGCTTTCCATTAGAGAAGGCGGTTTATTAGGATATCTGTCAAGGAATGTAATTGGGCAGCGCCATCAAATGAGCAATGTTATGTTTATAACTCACCTAGTAATGATGAAAATGGTTTAAAGCTGCGTCATGGAAGGGTCCAGCAGCAGGCATAGCAATCCTCACTGATTTATGAGAATTCAAGCTGTTAAGTTGGTGGAAGCGTTCGAACTAAATCTGTTTTTTGTCCCAAGAGCGAAAATGTCGAAAATGTATCTCTTGATGATTACTTTTTTCATTGGCGTTGAAGACATTGCATACACTGTGTTTAGTCGCCTTAGTTAATGTTATTTAAGACAAACCTGGTTGCTTATACCTACAATAAATATATTTTTACAACCTATTTTTTAACCTGTGTAGCCAATGGCAATAAATCTAGCTTTGGATAGGAATTACGGGAATTTTTTTTTCATTTTTGCATCTTATTTTATGTGGTGCAACTAACTGTTGTTGAGACAATGCTTCATTGACTTGTTGAATTTTATATTTAATCCGCGAAACAAAGTAAAACAAAACCCGTCACACACAAAACTCATGATCAAAATGCTCCGTGATCAAGGAACTCGTGAAATGACACAGCTGCTACCGTTTTCGTAAAAGGCACTTTTTAGTGGGTATCACCTACCCTCCACCTTTTATCGCATGTTTTTGGAAAATTAAAAATCTTGGAAGTGTAATGATAAGAGTACTATTAGAGGTCAAGGCAAAACCGATACATTTTAATGAGACCTATTTGAAAACACTCTGGTTAAACCAGGTATTTATAGTTGTCAAAGTTCTGGAAAATTAATAAATCAAGAAAAATGAATTTTTAAGTTCCTGTGATTCAGTTTTACCATAACATTTTGCTGCATAGTCTCAAAAAAATTTTGGTTGAATGATGCCAATTTTTCGAAAGGCAGATATCCAGCTACTGCTATCTGCCTCGTATATGTGAGTTCCCTTCAGTCATTCTGAATGTGTCATCATAGGCACATAAATTATCCATCGCCCCAAGATAAGTCTCAATATTGTGTTGTACACAGGTATTAGGCAATATGCAACGATGTCTTTATGGACAGATTTAAATCCTTCAGCTATGTGCTCGTGAATGGACCAACCGAAAAATACTTTTAATGAAATGTGCACAAACTTGTCGACTAATCTGAACTTACAAATGAGTTCTGCATCTTGCAGCTCAGTACATTTATTCCGATGACGTAATACAGCAGAGTTAATGAAGCTACAGCTGGCTTAAAAGAAGATCCTTGACCAGATTTTGAAACATTTTTAATTACTTGCGTAACTACGTAAACAGTATGTGTTATCTCACCAAAAAAATCCGAAACGAGTATTCATAGAATTATATATTTACGCTTAACCTTTTCTCGTTCCGCTGCTAAGTGGCTGTTTTTCGTTAATATGAGGATCTGAGCAATAAGTCGTTTTCTTACCGTCGTATCAGCTGTATGATTCAAAACCTCAGAAGCATTTAAATAAAAAAAAGTCAATTTTAAATCCCAGCTTTGTTCGGATGTTCATGTTCACATAAAGGGTTCGATGAAAGCCCCGATATGTGATCTCGGACCTTCTAGAGGCCGCTGTGTTGAATTGGCCTGTTAACACGACTCAGAAACCCAAGAAGACAAGACCAGAGACATTGGAGATGGGTAGCTCAGCCTACTTGTATTTGTCACGCAACTACGCATAAAAAGTCATGTCTGAATAATTGAGGTTGTGAACCTGTGACCGTGTAAATGAAACGGTAAAGTGGGAATGATGCACGCACAGGGGTTTATGAGCGGACGGCTTCGCGCAATTGATAGGGACGCCGTGAAAATGAGGTCATGGTGTCGGAGATCTCAACGACCGGATTAGTGGACGTGAATCGCCACGATCCACTACAGACAAAACGTCCGCAATGGGCTTAAATTAGCTAGGTTAACCTTTTGGTAATAGATCAGGCTGTTTATTTGCTGTTATTTTAAATGCCTTGCTCAATTTTCCGGGAAAGATACCTAATCGATGTTGAATAGATCAATAAATCAAAAACTAGGTTTTTGTGTGAGGGACCTAAAAACCGTGTGACAATCGAGACAAATATAAGAGTCGAAACGAATCTTTTAGTCCGACAAATGCCACCGAGGTATCTGTGAGGTGTGAACTCCATGATTTATCACCGTGTGAAACCTTTGTTAGCACATACTAGTGAACGAATCATTTACTCAGTTTAAATCTGATCAAGATTAGACGTCTCAACTAATCACATCATGTATGCAAGAATTCAAATCACTTTCCCAACTCTGAATATTTGGGGGGGGGGAATGCTATGACAAATATGATTCATTCCATAGGCATACTTCCCTAAAATTTTGAATAGCCTTGCGTTCACGTTTACAAACCGTCCACCACATCTATTTATTCCCAAGTTTGACAAAAAATGTAGTTTTTTTTCAGCAGGTAGAGTAGACTGACATAGTTCAAACCTACTGCTGATCAAATCCTTACACAGAATTTATACTTGTTCGTTAATGCATTATTGGTTAAGGCTTATCATTTCAACTCTCAGATACATAAACTGCAGTCCTGTATGCTTCCCAGAACATCACTATTCCTATTTAAATGCTTTAGTAATGTAACTTTGTGAAGACAAAGCACTCAAAATAATTTTGGCACGTCTGTGCAATTACCTTCTGTTTTTGCTTACCTATTCAGTGACGACTTAAATGAGCTCTTGGTATTAACTGAGCTAAAACTGTACTAGCTATACATTTTTTTGAAGTAACTGAAAGTGTATCCCAAAACGTGATTGCACGGGAAATTAACAAACGAACTTCACTTTAAAATAGTCATTAAGTCAAGCGCTTTCCTTCCATCTTGCATTTTCACAGCTATTAGTAGATCGATTGCTGTATCTTCTGGATACTAGACAATTAAAATGAGATCAGTTACTTTACGAAGAAATTCGCAACGGTAAATGTCTGACAATACGCACGCTCAACAAATCACGACCACAAAATAGTATATGTTGGAACAGCTTATAAATATGTGGCCGAATAGTGGGGAATATTATTCCGCAAGGAAAAGCATGACTTGTATCTAGCATGGATGTTATTGGGGAATTTACCACAATGCTTGAATATTATGTTTAGAAGCTGAAAGTCAATTTTGTTTGCCATACATTACTCTTGCCCCAAATTGATAAAAATACATTAACGTTTTCCAATAGCATGTCTGTAAAAGGACGGTAAATAGTATTAGCGTCGTGTTACTTTCAATGCATAACGTACACATGTATTTCGCAGAGGAATACAGCTAATCATTTTTTTTCAAACCGTAGGCATTAACTTTGTGGAATTTCTCCTTTACCTAATTTGATTCAAAATATTCTATTCACCTGCGTGAGGTTTGGTCACGCACTAAGTAAATTGTCTTGGTAATCACAAACCAGCAGTTATGTGCGGAACATAACTACACAGCCCATCAGCCCTAAACTTGCGGACATGACGCACGTACGAAATTCTCGGGGGCGTGCCCGACTCGAGTGTGCGCAAACGAGCTAACGAGAATTCGCGTTTATGAACCAGGACACCGCCGACGCGGCAACCGCACGAGGAACCGCGAGGCCTACGTGCACCACGTAGCTAATCCAGTCACAAGGTGCATAGCGCGCAAGTGTCATGCACGTGACTTAATCGATTTATCGAACGCCAAATATGTGGCATTATGGGACGTGTCGACAATAGTAAATGCACGGCTTGGAGAAAAAGCGGCAGTTGGTGTTTCAAATCCCATTACCGTTTTAGTGAACGTTGTTACTAGTGTAAAATACGGGTACCACTGGAGCAGACTTCAAGTATTATACAAAATAACATACATCGATATTTAATTCGAATTTACCTTTTTTTCACGATTGGCGTCCTTTGTGAAAGGACGCAATCATGCTGGGATGTGTATAATTTATTTCCAGCCTAGACTGCTGAGTGCCCAGGTTTTTTTAAGTACGACCCAGTGTCTTGAAGGCAAAATACGTGTATATTACACAATGAATACATACAAGGGACTGTACACGCAAGGTCAGTCTATTCTAGATAAATAAGTCAAAGTAACAACAGGCATTCGCAGACAAATGGCTAAATAACTCAAATGTGCACACAAAGGTTCGAGGCATTTAATGGACATATTAATGCAAGGCCCTTTTCCTCATTTTAAATTTGTCCTAAATTCAATTCGGTTTTTAGCAATCTCGGTCAAGTGATATGCCTAGCGGCTTAAACCAGCCATTTCGTCAAAACAGAAGCACCAAGTCAGCCATATAAGTAGAATAATTGTCTTATTTCTAGCTCCAAAATTCACTTTAGATCATTGATTGATATGTGTTTCTACCCTTAAATTTAGTGCACTTTATATGATGCCAGACCCAAGATACGCACGTACATCCGATGGTCACTTCAAAACCGACCTATTAACTTGGAGTTATTATCCGTAAACATATACGACAAGGTGTCTCAGTGTTAATGGCGACTTGTAGGCGAGGGTTTTAATGCTTCACATGCGTGTGAACTTAACTAATATTGTGTGAAAGTTAGGTTTTCACACCGCTGCCATTATTAACAAATTGGAAGTTATCCAAGTTACAGGCCTGTTGTTAATGTACTTTGTTCTATCACTCACAGCTGTTCTCTATTGACACAAATCAGTGAATCTTTTTTCCTCAGGGAGAAGGTGGATTGCAAATTAACAATTATGTGTTATTTGTTATATGTTCGTTAAATTAAAAAAAGGGCTTCTGGTTCTACTATCTCCTATCACTTTATTTCTTAATGAATCACAGAAACGATGACACAATTAAATCCACCACGTTTTTATAATTCGGTACAGCACTTCGTGTGTAATTTAACCTTTCGTATGATTCAAATTGTCAACCGCCAAATATAACTGACTGGAAAGAAGGGATGTAAATTCAGTTTAAGGTGAAGAGAATGATGTAGAGGAAGGGCGGTGTTATCAGGGAGGTTCAAGAGCAAGTGTTCCGTGAAGGGAAATATGGAGGTCTAGCGTCACTGTGGCAGGATGGTGTACACACACGCCGAAGCCGTGGTGAGTCACGTCTGCTGGCCAGTTGGGAGGTGCGTGCCCCTTCGATGGGCAGGCTCCGTTTGACATCGGAATTGATGACGTGTAGCGTTGACCGTTTGGCGTTGACGCGCTTCAGTTGCCTCCGGAACCGCTTGCGCACAATGAGGTCTAACGCTCAGTTTTTTGCGATACACCCGCCACGTACTTCTCCATACTGCACAAAACAGACCTTGGTTAATTAAAAAGCAGCCCAACTGCAAAGAGCTGTGATTTAGCCTTAATAAAATGCTGTAAACGACGCGTTATCCACCCACCAGACACTTGACTAGGTCTAGAAAAATAATATCTTTGGCATGATTGCTAGCCCCAGCGTTTACGAGGCAGGTAGGGTAGTGTTGCTTCAATTGAATTCTCCGAGGATAAACTCAAATTTTGACACTTAGTGCAAATGGGGCATCATGAAATTTTGTGGGGCAGCTAAAAATGCGTGGTATGCTTTCGATCTTAGGCATTACCTGTTCGTTAATGCAACCTCAGAAGTGGCCAATTTGATTGAAAATGATGTGGTCAAAAATGAACCAAGCTTCCACATTCACTGAGTGGTCTGCATTCTCTTATCATACTTGGTTATAAATATGGGCAGTTTGAGACAGGATCAGTGCTATAAAGCTGGGGCTGGCGCGAGACAATGTGTAGGTGCCACCTACACGAAAGACCGTCAACAGTCGATTGCCTCTACACACCAAATTACTCAAAGGGCCATAATTCCTGCCATTTCCCACAAGGTCATAAGGTAATAAGCAAACAGATGAACCCAACACAGCCCTTAAAAACTTCGATTAACTTACAACAATGATTGTTCGTGATATTTGAGCGTTTAACCCATGAATTTATGGGCGTGTATTTATAGTTGGTTTGCGAAAACAACAAGCGGTAATGTCGACACTAATGTGCTCATTTGTAAACAGCACACCGGTATTGAGACAGGCTATGAAACATGGTGGTATGCGTGTTAAGGCAGCTGATAAAATGCGAAAGACAAGTAAAATTATCCCTTAGGCTTCAGAAATTGTTCAGCATAAATGTGAACGATGAATAGCCTGGGTACGGCAATAATACTAGCACAAGGGAACTGATCCATCCCTTTTAATATATTATCGTGTGATGAAGTACACTGGGCAATCAGCTTGATCGCACATAGAACAATTCAAACTTCTTCAGAACAAGTAAGATGGATTTGCTTCCGAATATAAATGATGTTGGATTACAAAAGCTAATGCAGAATACAACCGGGAAATGCGGTTTGTAGAGTAAAAGCATTGACCAAATATCCACGTGGAATGAGACTGGACTGAGTACCTTCAATGTATAAGACGGCATACTTAGACAACTAGAAGTGCCCTAAAATATCCATAGGTTCCTATCTGGAGAACAGTGCAGGTAAAAGCATGATGCGATAGATTACTCCAGTAGTTCCATGGAGTCTTGGTCATAGCCAACAATAAAGGACAGATTACAATTAATTGGATGACAGTAAGTTCAGGAGATGCAAAAAATTTGACCACTCGACGAGGCAGACGCCTTTGGTCACTTTGGGCTTTACTCAATTCAATTACTAACTATACCAATTTCAAACAATTCCGCAAAAAAATTAGATTTGCACCGACGCTGTACTGCTCTACGGGAAGTGACGTTAAAAATCCTCCCGTCGTTGCAAAGCTGAGGACCCAGGGAGAGCGGATCTCCGAAGGAAGCTGAATCAATATCGAGAGAAGTTAAATGAAATGACCGGACAAACCCTGGATGGGTATAAATCATTAGATTAGTGGCACCCGCCCGCAATGTCGATCAAAGGTAGTGCCAAGGTTAAACAGAGCACGAAGTGGCACAACAAGGTACGACGCCATAGCGTAGGAAGTCTACCGATGTCAACCCCCTTCCCACAAAACAAAATAGAGAAAACAGGGACAATCGCAGAGACATACAATCGCACTATAGAAAAAGACCACTATCCAAAGGGTATACACAAAAGACAACGAAGGCTACGGGACGTATGCAAAATGGGATTCGATTGAGGGGAATTGATTACAGGTTGGGTCAAAAATCGCCGCAGCATAGAAAAATAACAATGATGACAGCGGACGGGCGAATGTAAGTGGATGTTTGGGGATAAATGCAACGAAACGCAAAACTGTACAGGTCTCGGGTCAGAGTCGGCAGGTTTGGTTCTTTACTCGTCTTCCCCTTCGTCCCCGCCTTCGTCGTCATCACCGTTCTCAGCTGTGACATCACCACTTCCTGCATCGGACACCATAGCAGCAGAATTATCCGATTTCGTTTGCTTCTTCGAAGGAACGTACACGCCTTGACGATATTTATTCATGTCCTAAGTAATGAAAAATAGAGTAGGATTGGGATAACTCAGTGAACAAAGGATAATAGTTAAAACAACTCACTTCTTCATAACGTTGCTTGTCTTGCTGAGCAAGAGTGTCATATTTGGCCTTCTCAGTGCACTCCTCCCACCTTCGTCCAAGCTCCTTGGCAATATCACCGACTTTCCAATCCGGATGCTCGTCTCTAATTTTACCACGAAACTCGTCACAAAAGAAGAAAAATGCTGATAACGCACGCTTTGGAACGGAGGGATCTTTAGCAGCCTTCCTTTTTTTACCCTTTTTCATGCCATCAGGAGGAACATAATCGACCATTTCGCGATTGTAACGCTCTTTGTCTAAAGCAGCCATATCTTCAAACCTCTTCTTCTCTTTAGGGGTCATAATCTAACGCACACAAGCTGTCTAGACAGAAAGACCAAATAATATACCTTCCATCGCTCAGCACACTTCCGCGAAAAATCACTGAACACGATATGTTCCCCGGGATGTTTTTTCTTGTGCTCCTCACGGATAACCTGAACGAAGCAGGCGTAAGCCGACATGGGCCCTTTAGGCCTGTTCTTATCCTTCAGGACACGGCTCATTGTTTGCTGCAAGCATAAGAAAGCGGGGCGTTACCACATCGAAAACACAAGACGATAGCGTACTTCAAGGCAGGGCATAGTAAAACCAACTTACTGTGTCAATAGGAATACCAAGCCTATGGAGACGCTTATGGAGCCAACCTAACCAGCCTAGGCTGTAGACTAGGCAAATGGCTACAATCAATCTAGCTATAGGGAAAATCAACCAATTAGAATTCAAAGCAATAAAAATATTTAAACATACGTAAAAATGTCTGCAATCTATCACATAAAATTCAAAAAGCTAAATTTAATTAAAAAAGTAAGAATACAAAACTAAAACTTAGAAAAGCTGTTGCAAAAAGATTTTGTTTGAGTTCACCGCTTTGCATGTTGGAGAGTTGAATGCTAGGTCACGGATGGATTCTAGATTAAAGGAAACCTTTGTCAAACTTTTTTATTCAACAAACGAAAGAATAGCATGCGCAGTCGAAGTCAAAAGATTGAATAAAGTTAGAAAAAAGAATAAATTTTTGGCCTTTTCTAGTAAACACACATTAGTTCCTAATTTTTTAGTTTCTATTGAAAAGCCTGCTGTCATACAAATCTATATGGTTAGGTCTAACGAAAGATATGAGTTTACAAAAAAGCTTCTTATGAACTCACAGACACTGAAAGTCGTTGACTGTCATGATGTGTCCGAACAGCCGTCTTACGACATTGAATTGAAGACGGAAGCAAAGGTGAGGTCTGGTGACCCGTAGATGTTTCCAGAATTTGCTTATGTATCAAGTATTAAGGCTGGTGTACCTCACTAAGTAGTGATGGGAGGAAAATTTATTTTGTATTGAACTCGCCTACTGCTCTCCTGTCGTGTGGTGTGATATGGGAATCGTTCATTTGCTAAATATAATGTGTCTTGTTTTTCAACATGTTCTTGTGGACTCACACAAGTAGCCTCCTTTGTGTTTATGTCGTGTCAAGTGTCCAGGCTGGTGCCTGGCTGCTTTATTTATATGGAATAATTGTTTCATTGATTTATCCTCTAAATCAACGTCTTTGTTCTCATGTACTCTTCCGCCCCATCATGTCTGCGTAACATTCCACTTCCACGACTCATGCTTGCTACTTATTTGGACAAGAAATATAAAGTACCTGACTAGTTAGTATTAAGTTATTTAGCCCCCGTATTCACAAAGTACTCTCTCACAGCACACGGTAATGACCACTAGTGATATCCGTTTATGCGTTCTCCTGATCAGGTTGTAAAAAAGCATTATGGGTAGTTTATGTACATTTACAATTTGTAATGCAAGCATGCAGATGTGCGTGATCAAGCTCTGCGTAAGGTGCATATTGCGAAATGTACTATAGTACATTATCGAGAGTCTCTGGCCAGATAAAATTAAATTGAGATTTAATTCAGTCATACAGTATATCGTTAGTGGTCATATGGTCATGTTTTACTCTTTTGGAAACGAGGAAAGGAAATCGGTGGGTGGTCGCTAAGGATGTTACTCTTTTTGCACTCTAAACCATGAACTCTTAATCTGTTCACCACCTTTTCCAATGTGAAGTTCTATTACCTTAGACTTGGAAAGTCACCGCAATTCGCTTAGAGGAAAAGAAAAAATTCATCTCCATGTTCTGTAAAGCTGTGGCAGTTTATCAACCTCAAATTTACCGTGAAATCCTGCTCAAAAACCTGCCAGAGGGAATCGAGCTGTCTACTAGTACGGCAGAAGCCTTGGAGGCGTCAATTAGTATGTCTCACATACAAACGTGGCTGTACTTTATGCTTTATTTGTGAAATATTTCCCTTATTTTGTCATTCGCTTCGGATCTATTACTTTTTTTATTTTCTTGTTAAATCACTACCCTGCTTACTGTCGGTGTACGTTTCTTATGTGGATTAAAGTCGGTATAACTTTTTACGTATTGTGTACAGACGAACTGTGGGGTGATTCTGGAGTTACTGCTGATGCAGCTGAAGATCCCATGATGGGTCAAAGACCAGGCGACACATATAACACTTTAACAAGTCGTGAGGAATCTGACTTAAAGAAATTTCTTGACCGCACCTCATCCGAGGATGTCTTTGATGCTAGTGCACTAATGGAGAGTTTACAGAACTATCTCTTTGATGCGGAAGGGGTATGTCTGCATTTTACTTGACTACATTAGTGCTCAAATTTTAAATAAATGTTCAATCACAGATGTTTGCTTCTTTTCCAGAGTAACGTACACTTTATAGTTGAGTCTGAACAGAAAGTGGCAGCTCTAATAAGTGCATTGGATATGGCCATGGACGAACTGGATATAATGGAAGCTAAACTCGACGCCTATCACCAATACATTACCGTAAGCAGACATTTAACAAATTCCATTTTCCCATTCTGCAATACTCGCAAAATATTTCGAATTCTGAAGGCCAACTTTCAAATTTTAGGTGACGTTACGTATTTGATGACCAATCTAATGTTATTTTATATTCACGTCTATAATTAACATTTTATTTCACCTTAAAGCTAATGCTTAGTCTCACTTGAAAGCATTTAGAAATATCTATGGTTTCAACGGCTTTCAATGTTTAAATGTTCGTTTATTTGTCTTCATTAGTATTTCGAGAGACCAAGTTCGCTTAATGCAAGTGTTAAAACGAACCACCAATTTTTTTGTCATGCATGTTAATGTTCTCGTGGTTACTGAGTTCTCGCGAAGGCAACTTCAAGACACATCTTTATCCGCGAATTCTTAACTTTTCATTGTTATTCCAATGCACTTATTTTTGTCATTCCTGAATGCACTTTGGAGTAAACCCTCAGCCGTTTGAACTCATGTGTCATTTTCAAGCAAGCATTCTGGATGCATTTATTTTGCCTTTTTACCAAATAATGTCATTCTTGCTTAACTGATTAATGTCACAATTGTTAAAAGCTTCGTTCTGTGTTCAGGGACATCGGAAATAGGCGACGGCTATTTAAAAACAACGTAAAGATGTGGTGTAATTTCGTTGGGTAATTACGAAACCGGAAACATTTACATTTTGAACACATAGACACCGCCATTTTAACACGGTCTTGATTCGTTATTTCATCGAAACCACACCTTAAATGTTTTGTTTTGAACCAGATTTGTATTACAAAAAGGGTAACAGCTCTACACTATAACTAGAGAGCTTAGGAGAATAAAACACTACAAACCAAGTCAACCACTTGACTACATTGTGTAACGATTTTGTAGGTGGAATCAGTTTTAGGGCTACGTAAATTGTTTAAAATTGTACCTAGACGGTCGAAGCAATTACTCAGGCCTTGATTCCACGTCATGAAGTATTTCGGTCGATGCACGTTTCTGATTTAGGATGTGGAGGAGTCGATGTCTGGCCTACAGGACCGCGACCAGTTAGCACAAATTACAGGCGATAACCGGCGACTTTTGTTGGAAACGTTGGAACACATCGTGGCAAGTCTCTCTGTTAACGCGGGCGTTCTTAAAACACTCGAAGAAGAGGCCGATCTGGTGGACATTGATCGTTACAAAGAGGCTGCCTCCTGCCTCGACGCTCTGTTCACTGCGGAAAGAATTCCAGGTTAAACACCGTCACTTTTTTCCCTTACCAATCTCTTTTGACAACGAATGATTTGATTTTGATATTGCTCGTTCGTCTCCAGGTCAAATTAGCTTGTAATTTCATGGTTAGATAGCCCGTGGTCTTTGTATGCCATCCAATTTAAAATATTCACTTGAAATGCATGTTTAGCAACCAGTAGTCAAGCTTAATTGTTTGCCACGACGATGAATCCTATTATTGCAAAAATGTGTGTTCTCCCAAAATAACTGTTGCAAATTTTTCAGTCGAACTTGTTTAAATCTATTACTTCAACTAGCTTTCCTTTTGATATGGTCGTGTTAAATGACCAGCGTTTGTCCCTCAAACATTCCACGTTATATATTTTTCTACATGTGTTGAAACTTAAACGTGGACAGGAAATTGATTATTTGTGTAGAACCAGTGAAAAAAATAAAATTTGTGTATAGGTCAAATCATTCTTCCATCTTCAATACTTTAAAGCAATCGGAAGGCAGAAAAAAAATACGGGCACCGAAATATTTCAAGTAATAATCGGATAACCAGTCCCGTTTTCAGGTAGGGATACGCGTCTTGCAATTACTTTGCTTAATGACGACGCCTAGAAAACATGTGTGATGCCTTTGTCTAACTGGGAGAAGTGCACTTCTGTAAGCGGTGAATCCATAGTCCTGAATGCACGTCATTCTGTTTAGTGATCGTGATTGCTGGAAGTTCTGCAATTTCGTGTTTGTCTGACAACTGTGCTGTTTGTGTGTTAGAATCAGTTAACAGTGCCATTATCTGGAGGGACACAACTGTGTCGATGGTTGCCGTTTTCGTCGCTTAGACAATCGTGTCTTTTTTGCCCATTCGGCATGATCGTAACTGCCATCATAGAAATCAGCACAGCTGGCTCACTTATTTAACAGTCATCCAAATAATCCAACTCCTGGCATGCTTATTGTAATGCATACTACTCACGTAAATTGCTAAAAATATGTTCACTTATGATATCTTGGTCAAGATTGATGTTGCTGGTGTACAAATTCACCTTGTTGACATGCTGAATACTTCTATAGAGGCACCACGGTCAGTTTATAAAGTTCTCACAAACTCTCATTCTGGAAGTCTTGGCTTTTATTCGGAAAATCATTGTTAATTTGCCACTTGTGCTTGAGGTCGGTGGCGTTAACGTTCGGCATAATTGAGAGCTTGTTTAAAAGTGACATTTGTTTTCTGTTTGAATGATACGAACTGTCTAACAATGAAAATCAGACAACCGAATTGAATCTTATATTCTGGATTGTTTTGAGTTCTTCGTTGTTTCGTATCCGCCAAACAATCCTGGTCATTGGATATTCAAGAACTCCGAAACTTACAAACAATATTCTTCGTTTCTGAGTTATGTGACGCTTTAAATGATTCGTATTTAAATTTATTAAACCTGTATCCATTGCACTTGATTGAGAAAATTCCGGTTTGATAATGGGTCAGTAAACTAACAGATGACAACATGTTTATTTGTCTTGTTCGCACATAAGAATTTTCAAATTAACCTTATCATTTTGAACATCTGACCAGATGTTGGTTTGACCCGTAAACTTTGGTCTTAGTCTTGGCCGTTTGTGGATGTGACCCAACCTTGGTCCGACCTTGAAACTGAAGCAATTGATGTTGCATACTGAGCATTCGAAATGGCAGCATTCGAATTCCGCTGACTGCCTTGACCGGAAATTACGGGGCGACCACCACAAAGCTGTAGGAAATATCTGGGAGCAGGCTGACTTCGACGAAGGTTGCCTAATTGTTGGGCCTATCCGGGGCAGTCAAATCAAGAATTGTGCGAGATGTGGCAGCTTCAAGACGTCAATATGGCGATTTAATGGCGCAAACACTAGACGGTGCGCCCTTCGATTCGATATCGGAGTAATATCGCCAGTTGTTTTGAGCCATCCAAAATGACTACTAACGCGAGTCTGTAATGGCGGCAGCCTGTGCATAAAACACGAGCAGTAGTCGGACATTGAAAACCATTTTTTTATCAAGATTATTAGGAAACGTGTGTATTTGCTCAAAAAATTTTTGTCGTACTTATTCTTCAGGAAGTACTTCATAGTTATGAAACAAGTCGTTGGCAAAAGTTTGATTTTTGATCTAAGGTATCACAAAATATGCATTTAAACGTCGGTGTTTCAAGCGGATATTAGGTATGGTGAGCCATTCCAGTTCAGGTTGTGTCATGCAGCCCCAATTATCGAATCAATTTTTCAGATAGCCACGTGTTGCGCTTATAGACAACACTAAACTTTGTAAACGGTGTTATTTGTCGAATCCCGAAATTATAAGTGAAAGAAATCCAGTTTCTTTTTTCAAATAGCATTCGACAGTCCTGACATGAATGTAGTTGAAAACGTTCATCAAATACGACTTATGCTGAGAAATTTATTCATTTTGTTACGAAGTCTGTGGATGCATCTCAGCGACTTTATATGACATTCAGACAACCCTCAGTTGTGGCTACCACGGTCGACATCTTTTGCCCGCGTATTGGTGCACGCTTCAGATGTTGGAACCATCCTGCTGTTGTAGGCGAAGAGTACCTCCAGGCGGTCTCTGAGAAGTCCTTGGAGTTGGTTGCGCTTCGAGACAAGTTCGCTAGTCGTCTCTCATACCAGGTGAATGACATGATAGTGCGCTTCTACAACCAGTTGATGCGCATTGCTCCTGGCGGTGGAGGTATTAACGTTGGCGGCAGTCTTGTTGACATCTCTTCCAGTTCTTCGCGACATCTCCGTCACCACATACCTGGAGGCAGCCTCTTGAACCTCTCAGGCTCCCGTTCTAATCTTTCTGTTGGTTCCGGGGTCAACCCTAGCGGTGCGTTGAATCACTGCTACGAGCTGCTCAAGGTCCAACGATCTGAGATGTTGCAGTTCTCTTCACTCGTCGGCGGCTGGTTGCAAATCAACCGTCCAGACGTTTTTCGCACCTTAAAGAAGGTGACTTGTGCAGTTTTTCCCACATTTGCACATCGACTGCGCATTTGTTTAGGCTCGCCTATGCTCTTTGCTTAGTGTTGCTTGTCAGTAAAAAATTCGCATTAGTGGTGTTGCTTCAGTTTCTCTTTATTTCATAGCAAAATTTGACTCGGCTCAAACGACCGTTCATCTTCACATTCAGTGTAACCTAATGTTAATCGAATTGATGAGACTAGCCTAAAACTCCATTGATGGTGATGTTACGGACTGTGACTATTCTTGGCCTTTTCGGCCTAAACCTAGGTCTCCTTATGTGTTGTTGTTTGCTTTGTAGCAATACATTGATAAAATGCAAACATTCTTCTCTCGTGTGTACCAGGAAATCCTTCAGCTTGGAATACAACCAATCCTTGGTCTTACAAAATCGTCTAAGCGTGCGTTCCACTATCTCCCATTATCTCAAGATTTTTCTTGTTAAGATATTCTTGATTGTTATTTATTTATTTTAGATGATCCAGCGAAACAGGATGGTGACGTTAGCAGTGTCCTGGTCACGACACAGGGCAGCACACTGAACCAGTTTAAGCCAGTGAGCTCACTTCGATTGATTTGATTATTTCTAATAACTAGCTTGAAATCGGCTGAGAGTAACCCCTAATCATCATCTAGTCGCTTGTGTCGCTTTCACTCGTCATGTTGTACTATCTATTAGCCTCTTCCATAATTTTGAAGCCTTTTTAAAACTCAATGTACTCGACCAAATTAGTTTGTGCGCTTCATTGCATGATTTTTTCTTGACGCAAGTCATGGTTCGACATGCGAATCGTGGTATTTACCCATGCAATAAATTTTTTTCTAATTTTTTTTTGATTTCGTCTTCAACGTTTATTCTAGCTATTTGAAAATATAACCCACCAACTCTGGTCATTGGTCAGCGGTGAGGAGAACTTTATTACGGATTTCTTTTGCCTCGAGAAGTGCAAGGTAAGCGTTTATTTCGCCGGGTAGGGTTGTAGTCAGTGGGTCCACTAGAACCCAGGAATAATTTGCGCTTGGAACCCTTCCGTCCTTAATTCCTAGTTGCTGTAGTTTTCTAGTTCATGTGACCTGATGCCTTTAAGAGGGTTTAGCGTCTCACCGATATTTTGCTTTGAAGAATAAGGCTGTTTCAATCGGACCCGGCAAACCCCTTATTCAGGTACACCCTCTTGCCTTGCCTTGCTGTGTGTGTGTGTGCACTTGGTCACTTGCTGTGTTCCACTAATATAGTCACTTATTCGTTACCTTCGTCAGGTGTCTAAGGTCCCTGTGCCAAAGGTACTCGAGCCTGCAGTGCACTGGATATGAGAAGATTTTGAGTGTTCAATGAAGGTCTTGACGTCCTGTTTACCACCTGATCGTAGTTTCCTAGTTTTTTTTTGTTCAGAATCTCCACATTTCTTCACTTTCCAGTTTCTTTCCACTTAATGTCCACCGCACGATCCTCACCATCTGCTTGTATTTACGTTCTTTTAGGACGAACTGGATGCATTCGCTTGTATGCAGCTTCTGTTCAGTAGTCTGCCAGATGGAATGACTGATTTAATTCGTCTCTGTGAAGGGCAAAACGTTGTGTTCTCAATGTTTATGCTATTGGTTCTGTCACAGTTATCTGACCAAGTTGGTAAGACACGGCAACAACATGAGCACCAGGAAAAAAAATTAACTGGATCATTCTGGGGCCAATTGATCAATCGCTGCATCACTGAGACTAGGGGTGTGCTCAAGAGGCACGTCGTAAGTCATCGAATGCTTATTAAGTCTGCTACTAACCTGTTCTTCACCTCATTGCGTTTCTTATTACTAAAATTTTAGAATTCACTGAACCAGATGTTCCGTGACAGTAAGCCTAGCCGAAAGGTGCGTTGTGGTTTGCTAAATATGGTGCGAGTTTATGAGAAATTTGCCGAGTCCTCGTTGACCGTCTTCGGTCCAGGCTCGACGATCATGGAGCAAGCACACAGCGATCTCATCTGTTGCCTCATGAACGAACTCGACCGGGTCGCTGCAGATAGTTTGAAAACTCCACCAGAAGTTGTTTTGTTAGGTAACCTTGTCTCTACTGTTTTTTCGTGCTTGGTTGACCTCCATCTGAGCAGTGACACATTTCTACTCATACTCGGGGTCTTCTCTGTGCTATGTTCTCGATGCTCTGACAAGCCCTTCTTATGTTCCTGTTATAGAAAATTACCACCGCCTGTATGATATACTTTGTCGATTGAAGCTGCCATCCTTGGACGACACTCGGAAGGAAACCAAAGCTAGGTATCAGCGTTCTTTACAGGAGTATTCCATGAACTGTATGGGACGACCACTTGAAGATCTTCACGTGAGTTTTTCGATAATTGTCTTCAAGCTTTAATCGGCGACTGGACAAAATGATTTCATGTATAGTTTAAAGTAATGAGGATCTGCAATAGAACTCATATTACACTGAACGATGGGTTAGTCATATTTAACTACCAGTGGGTAATCGGCAGTCGACCTATCGACTAAGCCATGAGCCTTATACACTCTATTTTTGATTTTTAGAACTTTTTCGAGCAGGTGCAAAGCGCTCTCGATTCTGGCGTCCGTCCCGATGCAATTTGCTACCAATTCGCTTTTCAAAAACATATGTTGCAGAAAATTATTAAGGAGTATCCCGGAAAAGAAGTAGGTCAATGGTGTCATTAGTTCGCACCAGAATGTTTGGCATTTTAAAACGGTTTTGGTTTCGCCGGAGTCCAGTTGAACAATGTAATATAGTCTTAAAATAATGTGGTATTCAAATGGGTTATTGTTACTTGAAGCAGATGTATAGTTTGGATGCACATGGAGTCGTCTCCGGTTGTAATGGTACAATGTTGTGTTCTGGTTTAATTCACTCCGCCCTTCTCATTTTGCAAACGTCTCCTTTCTGTTACACGACTGTTTGAAGTGTTCGTTCGTTGTCAGAGGATGTGCCAATATGACTGGTTATTGTCATTTTAGGTAAAAAAGGGGCTTGACAGTCTACGGAGGAAGGTTGAAAAGAATCTTTCTGAAGAAACTAATCTTTTCCCCGTAAGTTAGATTGTCCGCTTCTCATTTTCCTGCATTTGAGGTGTGTGACTTACAATCATGGAGATGACTAGTAAATTGTGCTCATCTGATTTAGGCTAGCAACGCACTTTGCTTTTTTATGACGCATTCGTACATTATTTTAGGTTGTTTGGCGGTCAATTCAGTCAGAAGTTACTAAGCAGTGTGTGTTTTATGAAGAGTTGATCCAGAAGTGCTATTCTGACTCGGGACTTGCCCTCGATTTCACTATTGATGACCTCCAAAATTATTTCAGTGAAATTGCAAGTGCACCGAGGCGACACGCTCTTGGTTAAATTGCTGTGATAACCCAAACGTTACTAATTTGATTATGGATGTTTTATATTTTGATTTTGTAAAATTTAGCACACGGGTAAAAGTATAATTCTGCAAGCATTGAGTTTTGCACTTGTCACTTTGGTGTATTCGTACCAAGCGCTACTCCACGAAATTCCTGGTAGTAATTTTGAGTACATGAAGAGTTCTCTCCAATTAGCATAACATTAAACAGCGCAACATCAGAGTTCATGGAGGTGGTGGCTGGGTGGCCTTGTGTTGCAGAATCAGGTATAAGGTGGTAGTAATAAGTGCGGTATCTAGCTCTCCCTCACACCTTTGAGACGAAGAAATCCCTTGTGGTCTATCAGTAACACAAAGACAGTGATTAACTTGTGGGCTTCCAGTTGGCGAATCCGTATCGGTGAGTGATTCGTCAAATGTGGTCTGTAAATAAGTCTTTACTTGCATTCGAGTATGGAAGGAGAGGGCAGCTTTATCCCAGATAATTGGTTCAGGTTCAAATTTCCATTATATTCGGGTCAAACAGAGAATAAATAAGTAAGTCAGAGATGAGCAGCCTAATTCCTTTCACAGTCTTGCTAATTTAAGGTTAATTCACAGGTACAAACATAATGCATAAATATAACTTACAATCAGTCAATTATTTTGTCTGTTAAATTTTAATATATTCATATGTGACCAGGTTGTGTATGCCTTTGATCAAAACGAATGCAGCTACTTGATTCAAAGCACCTTAAAAACAGTTTATGGAAACCATTATTTTATTTTAAAAAAATATTGAGTGAGTAAATGTTATAAAATTGATACCTAGAAACGGAAGCGGACATTAAATTAATCAAAATAATTCACTTTATTCACTCCGATTTTCAATTCAAAAAATACATAAAGGCAAAAAAATTCCTAGATTACTTTAACAATGCTAATGAAGTCTTCATTGACAAAATGTTTAAAACATGCCTGAGTGAGCATGTCTAATGTTACTTTAAAGGTCATCCTGTTAACCCGGCTGATTTGTCTAAGCCTGTCCCCATTCCTGTCGTTCATTTTGGGATTTTTTGTTAAAGAAAGTTTGAGCTGACAGCTTCTTGTGCACCTTACAGATTATGCAGTAAAACTTTATTAAGGATTTTAAACGCTGAGAGGTTTTCTCTGTAGCATGCAATTAATTACATTCCCAGATATGCTCAAATCATTATTATTAAGAATATGAGCCTAGAACGGATTATAGCACTTTTGAGCCAATATTTAATATGCTTTTTCAGGTTAATTTTTTAAATTTTCTTTCTTGCTGAACGTACCGTATGTCGTGCCGTGTGGTCATTGGTGTTCGCTTTCAGATTTTTACCTTTAAGGTTTAATTTCGCTGTAAAAAAAATGAACACCTCATCTGGTCTAGGTAGGTGTAGTTTCTAGTCCAAAAGGTTAATCAGACCTAGTAGTTACAGGTTTGACCGCAAATCCACGATGTCTACGGGGTAGTTATATTTAGACCTTATACACGTACAAGCCTCATTTGTGCGCGAGATATTTTCAAATTCTACTGAATATCATTTGAGGATTATAAACATTGAGGTCATTAGGCGCTAGTTAAGATTGCTTGTAAATATGCAACGTTTAGTTCCTTGGCGTTTGTCTTCAGTTTACGTTTATCTCTCCATAATATCATAATTTATTACACATTCAAAGTTGATCCCTAAGTCAATACTGCGGTTTGTAATTGTTCATTGACTTTCAACTCAAATTCTTGGACTTAATTGGTTTTTCTATTTAATTTTGTATACCTTTTCCCACGAACTCTTTATGAAACTATTTGAGAGCCCAATGCGATTGGTAAATCTACTTCTTGCCCACTCCATGATCAAAGTCCCTTTTGTAATATTAGATTGGTACAAAAGCACTTACAAGTTGTATTATAAGGCTCTATAAGTTAAAGTGCCGTTGGTCTGATTAGCAAAAAGTCCTAGAGAATGACAATATTAAGGACATAATGTAATCCTTTGGTTTCTCTATATTGTTTCCAATTTTAACGTCTTATGGCCAATCGTTTTCAGCTTTCCACTCCCCTGCGATTGCCTTTGTGGTCAACGGTCTTGCTCGTCTCGGTTGTTCCATTGAGTCTTTCTTCTCGTGGAGACGGGAGCTTTGTCTTTCAGCGTTGCCTTCAAGCTTGCCTTTTGACTCAGTGTAATGCTACTAGTGCCAAATTACCCTTGTCATACTCGTACAGTTCCTACCGACCACGCAATCTTAGATATTTGGAGAAACTGATTACATGGGAATGCAACAGTGAATGCAAATATCACTGTATGTGGTGGGCAGTGGATGCATTTCAGCAGGGTGGTCAGCCAGTTCCGCAATTTTATGGAAAAGTATGTTTTTGTATTTCTGTCATAAATGATTTCGAATCGACCTTATGATGAATACATTTAGACATGTTTAAAACTAAAGACCAGAATCTTGTACGCTAATTCAGATTAGTTTTGCTTAAACAGTGCCTATAGATACCAATGTTTTGCTGTTTAAATTGTTAAAATCTCGGCTCAAATATTTCATATTGCATTACGAAACTGTGGCATTTTTCATAAATTTTAAGATTGCAACCGATGGTGGTCCAAGCGTTGTTAGCCTTACTATTATCAAATATAATCTTAAACACTATGATTCATCGTCCATTTAATAAATCATGTGGTATTATTAAATATTCAACCAGCAATAAAATGTCAATATATTTCTGATTATTTCTTCGCTTAATTACTTTTCAGACTTTTTCCAACATAAATATCATATTTCACCTCCCTAATAAGTTTTTGCAACAGCACTTTCAAGATCCATATAGCATCTAAACTTAGCTATGCTTTATACCCTTATTATAGTGGAAAACTTTTCAATTCGTTGAACCTGTAAGTACTTAGCTTCTTTTTGAGCAAATTGAGTCCCATCTTTTTATGGTAAATCAACTTATTTGTACTTCTTTTTCTATTTTGTAGTCCAGGCGAATTATGTTCTAACATTTATTTCAGCCACAAAACCATTCATGTTAACTAATCCTAGACAGGCTCACCTCCTTAATTCATTTTATCTCCCACGTTGGCGGTGGTTCTCCCTGGCTAGTGTTCTAGTTGGTGATAAGCATTTTAAGAATAACAAAGCTGTGTATTGGTGTCGAGCCCATCATTTATTAGTCGCTTACTTTTAAATATTGTCTTTCAGATCCCACATTATTTAGCGGTTTCCTACATGTGAAAATTGATGTAGATGATACATGTGTTACTGTTCGCTGTCTCGAACGTAAAAGTGGTTGGGTTTTAACGTTTTAATAAAGAATCATGAAGCCAGCCTACTTGCTAGAGACAAGGTTACTTTTAGTGGTTTCCAGCGCCTTATTTCGCCTTTTTAAATATCTCTATTTATTGCTTTAACTTTTTACTACTTCCCTCTTCATAAGCGTTGCCAGAATATATCCTTAGGCATCATAGTTATTTATTCTACAGTGGCCCCAAATCCGTCTGCTTGGCATTCAGGAACCGGCCTCGGCGTTGTTTTCTGCCCTTAACTTTATTACCCAACTGGTAACCTTGCTACACTTCCTCAGGCATGTGCCCTATCACGCCCCTCTCTTCTCCTTCTGGATTCTGTTTGCACTTGTGAGTTAGCCCTAACGCATTTCATGCTCCATTTACCTATTTATCTTGCTACAAGTGAATCAAAATCACCATGTGCGAACCTTGTTAAGACTACATAACCTGAAACCTGTTATAAACGGTCTTTAAAGCCATCAGCAAAAGTACAATGCGTGGTCTCTCTAGGTGTCAGTGCGCGTGGAAGCTGGAAGAGGAGCGAGAGGTCAGCGGCGTTGAGTAGTGAAATCTTAATCCCCTGAAATAACGATTGGTTTTATTGACTTCTGTCACCTAAGACTGCTAAAAGGTACTTCTGAATCTTTTCTATGCAATTTGTTATGATTATTCTGATGATCGATCCCCATTATGATGAAGTTTTTATCCTTTGCCCTTCAAGAAACCGTTTTTCCTTTTTAACTCATCCTATCACCAGGTATTTGTTAAGCATTTTCATCAGATTCATTCAACCGTTCCTCGTTTCTTATTTTTGCAGGCTGGTTTGAACGCGTGGCTGTGGTCGACCGTTTTTCATATTTGCGACACAAGCATTACCGAGGTATGTTTACGTTACTTGCTAACCTTGGTGCAGTCGTTTTGCAAACGTTAGGGCTCGACGCATCATACTCGTCCATTTCCTTGACATTATTATGTTTTAAAAGAAACCTTTTCCTTTGTTATACAAGTTTTTCAATAGAACATTACATTTAAAGAGTTTTGTAGCATAAAATGCATCCACTAGGCGCAGATTTGTAATGACCGTTAAAGTTTGGAACAAATTTTCCCACCTAAATGGCAGTGCGCAAATAACCGAAATGGTAACGACGTCATTACCTATCTATCAGCAGCAGGAAAACATGTATGTGCCAAGGTTTTCGTGCAACGTGTCTCGACCCCAGACGCGCTAGGACCTTTACTTTGTGTTACCTTCAGAAACTTGACTACTGTTCTGCATTCGCTTATGTGGGATCATTTTTTATCCTCACGCTTGCTCGAATCTTGTATCGTCAGCTGCGGTGGGTTCGATTTGCATTCCTTTCAGTCGCATTCTACTTGATTTTGTCATATCTCTCTCACCTGATCGCCGCACCTGAAATCGATTATGAGTTTAATATGAATGTTCACCTTGCATTTGGTAAGTTGATGTGTGCTTGAATTAAGGTGCTCTTTAAAATGAGCTAGAAAATGCTAGTTAATGTTTCATTAATGCTGGTCCTCTTCTTACACACAACTGACGCTTGTTCTGATCGTACTTTGTCTATCAGTAACTCCTGGATGGCCAATGAAAATTGTCACCCATTCTTCTAGGATCTAAAAAGTCCCTTAATGAGGACAGGAGGAGGTCGATTTAGTTAAATGCCAATTGAACCTATTTCACATTCGTGTTCAGTGTGAAAAATGAACGTAGAATATAAAATTGAACTATCTGAAATTTCAGTACAGTATGATTTAAAAACTGCAAATTTAACGTGAATGGAAGTGTTTCATTATTTGGTGAATTGTGCATTTGGCCTACATTCGCTGGTAGGGAATTATGTACGTTTGCGTTGATTAAGATTAGGCTTGTTTTATGGTGATGAAATCGTCAGTTTATTAGCACTGGGTTCACTTGTTGTCGTAGGATTGCTGGTATTAGTGGGGTGGGTCGTTGGCCTACCAAATGTTTGGACAGTGCAAGAGAAGGCCTACTCCCGGCAGATGCAAGCCACGGTGCTTTTTATCTTTGCTGCGGCTTCACTTGAGTTCTTTGATTTTCCCCCCATTTGGTGGCTCTTCGATGCCCACTCCCTTTGGCACGCAGCAACCATCTTCGTTCCCTTCGCGATGTTTTCGTGAGTTTCCCAATGACAGCCTGTTTTTGGTGCCTGCATGTGTTAAAACGTATACGCAAGAGCACACACTAAGCAATTGTTTGGTGCGTGCTATGTAGCACTGCAAGTAGCTAGTCTTGTGTGGCTTCTATCGTATGGTGGAATTGGGAACTTTGTGTGTGGCTGAATTGATTTCTGCTTCTCAGTGCCTCTTAGATGGACGGCTAAGAGCGCATTATTGAGGTTCATTGACCTAAAACATGCAAAATATGCTTCAATTTTTTTCAGAAGGTAGTCAGTCTCTTTTACAAAAAAACAGTAAAATAATATTCACCCCATAAACTTAACATGATTTTTCTCTCATTAGTGTATAATTGTTGCCTACCTGCAGGTATCAAACACCCTTTAAATAATATTGGTTTAAACAGTTAACATTTTAACCAACCGTCAAGGACTACTGTAGTTGAGGGTTTTCAGCCCATTTGAAAGCATTGTTCGCTAACTTTCGAGAGATAATTTTTTAACATTCTAGTTACGCTATCAAGGATTGCCAATACCTATGCCGAGTTAAATCGAAAAACATGGAACTTCACTTGTAGTCAAGACTTGAACCCCTGAAACCCATATTTGTACTTCCTTTTCTGTACTTGTGATTCATTGGCTTTTGTGTTATAACTTCTAGATTACTATGGTTGCTAATTTTCCCAAAGTATTATTATTATTTTTAATTAAATCCCTCTTCAAAAATGTCGTCCTCTACAGTAATCTTATGCACTGATGGGATTCCTTTTCGGCGTAGGTTAGTACTAAATTTTGCACCCGTTGGTGGAAGACGATCGCCTGACATCAGTCAATGTCTAAACGCCCAAAGATGACGTCAAGGATGACACACCCACATATTAAAGACTCCCATATATTACTGAGTCTAATAGAAAAATTAGGTGATTCGTGTACTTTGAATTCGAAATATGTCCTTCTGTGAAACCTCTGGTCGCAAAAATAGGGAACTGAGTTTGTGTTATGAGTTGAACACATTAGTCTCCTTGATCTACATGCTTTTACTGAACAACCGTAGATATTAAGTGGAATAATACTCGAGGAATTTAAATCTCATATGCAAAATCCTTGTGCAATCAATGCAATGTAATTTTTGTAGGCTCATTAATGCTATTATGATGCATTAACCAAGTGTTCTAACTAGGACTTGGTTTAAACCGCTTGGAATGTGCATAGGTAACTGATTAAGTTTTCATTTCTTGCAACATCCATTAACTAAATTTGAACAACCACTGGGTACCGTACGAAATCAGAGAGCGCACTTTCTTATTTTACTTCTTTTGGAAATTTTCTTGGCATTGTTATTGACCCAAGCGCAACAAAATAAGTCGAGGAACTGAACATAATTCGTGTCAGGAATATACAATGGTAAAAGCATTACGTACAAATAGCAGACTTTGCGGCAAAAGACAAGTTACTTGAAGAGATTGGGTGTTCCAAAACTCTCCGGAATTAAGTTCCTTGTTTACATCGGAATTTATTACCACGCACGAGGATGAATTTATTGATGCACTTGAGTAAATGTTTAGGTAAACAAAAGTGAGTGAAGCTTGAACAGACAAACGATGTATAGCAATTGTACAATTGGCCTGTGTGCTAGTATTTTGGTGCAAGAAACATGTGACGGTCTGTAAACAAGACCTGCCAATTAAGCTGTGGTTCATTCTTACAGGCAAACACGCCAAGACTAATAATGTTAGAGGCTACATAGAGCTCAAAACATGGTCTGCATTTTAATAACATGGATGTATATACCTATTTTCTTAAAACAATGAATATAGTTTAAAATTACATCTGCAACAAACAAATTACCAATTGTAACATGTTGAGATGTTTCGCAAAGCTCCGTCCACAGACCAAAGTAATTTTATGCGCTTCTATCAAAAGTCAGAGAAGTAAAACATGGAAAGCAAATAAAATCTGACCGGTAAATCTGACTGGTCAACTACGAAGGAATTTAGAAGTCAGGAGTCTTTGGTGGCACTACCGAATGGTTATTGTAAGGAAAAAAACTTCAACTGCGAGTGGGACAAGCAAATACGGAAATGGTAGTAGCAGAATTCTTAGGTTATATTGGATTATAACGGGATCAAAATTTAGGGTAAAATCATGGGCATTTTTATGTTATGATTAAGTCCTGTTTTTTCAAGGACACCACCTAGAAATTCTGACGGCTGTAATGAAGCCTAAAAATCGGTTTCGCAAAATTTAAATCCTTAATCAGTGTATTCTTTGAAAATTTCGTTGTGAAATGCAGTCAGCTTAAGCGGTTCAGTTTCGAAATTTGTACACTCGACGGAGTTTCACGAAATGCAAATCTCATATTTGTTTTATCATATTACAATATGGGCTTTTCAACTTGTACATAATGTTCAAGATTGTTGTTCAGTATCGGTTAATTGTGCTTCAAGCATTGTTTGGTCTAGAAATTTTCCATAGGAACGACAAAATTTGTAAAAATTAATTGTCCTTGAAAATTTGTGGCCATGGACGAACGAATCCGTAGTTCGACCAAAAATAGAACATGTTTTCCAGGACAGCGGGCGCTGTAATAATAAACATTAAATAATATGCGTTAACATCGAGTACGTGGATAGAAAGCTCTTGACATGTAAGCATTATGTGAGCTTCATTCGGCCACTGTGAATAGTGTTAGCAGCGTGTGAAAGATAAAATAGAAAGAACATTGTGGATTTCACAGCATGTGCAAAAAAGAATTATGAAATTGGTTTGTGGAACATTTGTAACTAACATTAGAGGTGGATGCCTACAATGGTTTTAATGATATTTTGAAACACTTCTCAGTGAAATCAGAATGCTTCAAAAAGGTTCTTGATATTTCTGTGCAATTTGACGAAACTACAATTAGGAGTACCTGTAATTGGCTTAAACTTGAGTGCTCGATAGTGCTGATAAACGTATCTATTGGAAATATGTTGTATCAGCACATTTAGGTATAGGTATTAACCAAATGTTTAAGTAAGCCTTAATTAAAATGGCATTGTGTAATGCGACAATATTCACTGGAGCCTAAATTTTGTTGAATCACGCCCATATCCAAATTTCCATATCAGCAATGAACTCCTTAATAATAAAACAACTAAGATAAATTTTTAATGTATTCGTGGACGTGCCATATACTCTGAAATAAAAAAGGACTTAATCTTTACTTTGTCCTTCATAGCGTGACATATTTAAGGGTATACCCATTCAGCAAGCAAACGGTAATGAATATTGAGAAGATTCATCAAAGCAAAGTTGCACACGCTAAGGACATGAATGTGTGCAAATCCGAATAGCGGAGTTAAAGCCAACGGACGATTATGTTATGACATTAAATTGGTGTGGCTTCTAGCAGAATCGCAAGCTGATAATGAACTTTGATGCATTCCGACGTCATGAAAAGCATATGCTGAATAAAAAGTACTTAAACCCGCACAATAATTAAAAAGTAAGATTTCTAAATTATTTCCTTTAATTTACAGTTGTACAAAAGATGAAAGAAGGTCGCTTTAACCGGCTTACCAGACGTATCGATGGACATTTTCATTAGCAGGTAACACTCTAGCAACTAATTTTCGATTTGTCTAGTACAAATCTACGTTGTGCATTCTACGTTGCTCATGTTAGCTAATTAATTTAAATCATACTCATGGAAAAGTTTGTTCATTTAAAAAATTATAATTTTCATTTCGGGATTCTTATTGGTCTTCCAAAACCGCTCACCTTATTGGCCTAGTCGGGTTAGGGTTGATTCTCATTGGAAATGGTAGGCTTAGCTATTTTTCGACGGTATTTTGGGCTTTTAAGAGTATCGCATGGTGATTTACTTCTCAAGTGTCGCTACATATTCAGTGGTTTAACATCCAATGACGAACGCAAGGTATACCGTGAACAGCGACTTCTCGGGTAGTAATTTTTTGACTCCTTTATGTTCTATTACTTGTTAATTCCAAATTTCAATATAAATATGAACCATTTTCAAAGGCAGAATTTTTTGAGCTTAGCTCTACATGCGTGTTTGGCTCAATTCAATATATTATCCATATCACCGCAGCGTAATGCATCATTGATTCCAAACGTACTTGTTACCTGTTTTTGGAATGATGATTGGTATGTTACACTGTAGCACAATTTTCGTTTGTGCGAAGTTCTGTGGACGTTATTTGTGTTAAGTAACCAAAGTTTACATATCAGACTTGCCTTTCTCCCGGTTAAAAGCGTCATATTGTTGATCCTTCTGGAGCGAGTTATAAATACATGAGTTCAATAAAATCTATATAAGTGTTCATCCTCCTGTTATAGGTATAGCACCGAACAAATGTTTGACATCATATCTGAGGTCGAACACTATTCGGAGTTTTTGCCGTGGTGTCTGAAATCAGACACAATACAAACGCACCCAACCAAGGGTAGGCTTTGCCGCTTGACTGTCGGTTTCTTTCCACTTGAGGAGAGCTACGATTCATGGGTAACTGTCACTCGGCCAGTACATGTTAAGGTAAAATTACGATTCTTCACTTTGTTTTGACCCCGTTTTCTTTCTTAATTTTATATTTTATTTTTAAGTAGTGAAATAATTTTTTAGGTGGTTGCATATAACGCCTTTGTAGTCAGCACGAATATGCCTTAAATACTCTGTCCATGCTATCGTAGATTTTGTGTTAAGTACATTCTTTGCGGAGACACAACGATGATATGCCTCAGACACCACAGGCCGTTTGCTGAAGTAAATCTTGAATTGTTTCTATTTCAATTCTCGACAGGCTTTGTGCGAATATTTTGGAGAACATTTTCTCGAGGCAATTTTTGTTACTGAGAATTTTTCCCGTCATCATCAATGTGGCGAATAAGTCTAGTTTTTAGTAGGTAACTAAGATTATCGATCAGTGCTTCTATAAGCGCTTTCTCCCTACAAAATTAAATATTGAATACTTCGTTCGAATGTTGAAGCTTCGATGCAGATGCATGAAATTTTGCTATGACTTCATTAACCAAGTATACATGAATACTAATTACGACAAATGTTTTTTATCACAGACAGAAATGCTGTATCATTTTAATATACAGAGTGGAAGCCTCATAAAAATAATTAAAGCACTAGTAGATGCATGACAGGCCTTTATCCTCCTCCCTCTTTGAAATCTTTACTTGAAATCCCAGGTAGTAGACCGCTCCCGTGTACGTTTCGTAAATTGAATTTTAGGCACCAAGCATGGCTTGGTTCCTTTTGCTAATCAACAAAAACCTTCCACCTTCCTTTTAGTCGGTAGCTACTAACAGCGATCTCTTCGAACACTTGATCAATGAATGGCATCTACACCCGGGCCTGGCTAATAATAAACAAACGTGCACCGTCGAGTTATTGGTTTGTTTATTTTTCTGTTATTTTTGATGTCGTCAGCGCTTTCCTCCGGGACCATCTGACAAATTTCCATCTTTTATCTAGGTTGATTTTAAATTTCGGTCGAAGCTACATTCCCGAATTTCCAGCCTATTCTTTGATCAGGTTGTCAATACAATGGTATGTGCCTTTCTTAGTCGCGCCAATACACTCCACGGACCAGGGTCAATTCCCAGGCAGTCTCCCAAGATTTTAGAATACATGAAGTAACGTGTTCTGCAAGGGAGAGGCTTTGAGCCTTATTAAACCCAGTGGTAATTTTTAGCCCTAAATTTTACATACAAAGAACACATTTGTACAAGCAAAAATAAACATTTATTTACAAGAGCTTTAACTTTTAATATCCAGATTGTACTCCTTGTACAGGTCCTTGACAGTTGTCATTTTGAGGTGGGCGAGTTGGCCGAGTACATAAATGCACGCATCCTTGGCATCGTTGTACTCATGCAGGTGTTCGCGCCAAGCTCTTAATTCATCTTCAACATCCTTCTCAGTAAAAGAATCAAGATTCCGGAGTTCGCGAATTCTGCTTATCAACGCTCCAATGGCTTCGTCCAGCTCGCGCTCCTCAGCCTCGAGGTTTCTGCTAGGTCGCTGTGGAGAAACCGCGTCACAATTCTTCACGGTGTTGCACAATTCGTTCTAGTTTTAAAAATAACATGACCCTTAGAAGGACGAAAAATGCTTAGACACTAACTCGTCCAACGAGACATAAAAAACGCAGAGTATTCCCATGTCGGTCGATCTTAACAAGTGCGCCCAGCATTGGTCGCAATACAACCTTTTCAAGCGATATCCTCTGAAAGTGTCGAGTCCCAAACTTTCCGAAATCGCCAGTGTAACAATTACGCGGCGCATAATTTCTTTTGCCAATGTAAATCACAGTAGACTTATTGCTGTTCACATTAATGGTCGACGTCAATTATGTCCTGCACGGAACTGGAACAATGTTATAACGGCAAATACTGGGAAATTTCCGTAGAATTTTAAATACAACGAAATACATGCCGAAGACAGTGTGTCTTCCATGGTATCTGCACGTACTTCAACCAGTCGATAACCCAAACACTAGACTATGTTTAATTTGAATTGTTTAAAATTACACGTAATGAAGGCAGTTAATTCCTCCATAGAAGATTTGTGCTTGGAAACATGCGTTCAGTCCCAGTGGCGTCTTGCAACAAATAGCGAAAATAAGGTCAAAAACATGAGTTTAGACTACGGTTCCCGGTCATGAATGCTGCAGCTAGATGCGGTCCATATCACTCAAAGCTTTGCTGCAATAACTACGCCAAAGCCATACTCACAGGTTTTAATGATTTATTTAATTGTTATAATTCTTCGTCTTATACGACACCAGCCATGCGGGATACTTACAACTAAATATTGTGCAAAGTAGAAAATCTAAGAAGAGGATAACTTTAAAGTGCCAACACAAATTACTACCTTGTATGTAGTAAATCTGCAGTCGGCAAAGAAGCCTTGGGTTCGTGTGGTCAGAGGTTTTTAATCATCGACGAAATAACATACCTTAATTGTGGTACGGGAATCTGAATGTTCTGGTTCTTTTGATGTTGCTGGTCTGGCCGATAACGCCTGGTCTCCACACCTTGGTCGTAGAGGAGATTTGAACTGTGAGTTGACACCAAAGCTTAGCCTCAACTTTTTCTCGGGAGCCGCCTGGAGGGAAGCCACGTTACAGTCGATTACAGCTTAAACAAATACAATCACATACGTACTAGGTGTGTTTTATTTCGAAGAAAAATACTGTACAAAAATATTTATGTGAGAAGGAATCATTCATCTTTATTGCGAGGAGCAGAGTTCGAACAGTTGGGGCAGTACCAGTGACCTCGAGGTTTGCTTGTTAAGCCCACGCAGCCAAAATGAAACCATTCAATGGGGCAGTCCCTATTATCACAGGCAACCATTTCTCCAAAAGAAACCTGCTGGCAAAGACAGTAGGTAGGTTCGTTTGGGTCGACAGGCATATCTAGGACTTCACCGGGATTATTGGTTAAGGCCAACGCCAGTGCAGCGGTTGCGGGTATCCTACAAAACAGAAGAGAGAACATTGCAAGACGAGGTGCAGCCGGAAGAAATAGGTTGAAGCTGTACCGACCTCGGGGAAACATTAGAATCTGATTTCTTCTGCGTTTTTTTCAGTTCTTTTTCCGCTAAAGACTTCTTGAATTCGAACATGTCGGCGTCGAGGCGACGAATTTGTTTATCCACAAGTTCATATACATTTTCAGCTCTGGACACTTTGTCATTACTTATTTCCACACCTTTCTTGTACAGCCGTTGTATTTCACGAACTCGCTTTATGCGTTCCTCTTTTGGTAAACTTTTAGCAAATTGCAAGAGCTCATCAGTTTTTGTTTGAGCTTCGTTGACGATTTCTTGAACTTTATGATCAAGATCCCTCATGATCTTGAATTCCTGCCGCAAATGAGGTGGTACCTGTTCCAAATCTACAAAACATCAATTAAATTTGAAATGGGCACTAATTGCTTGATCATACATGAGAACCGAACGAGCAGATAATATTAACGTTCCCCAGAGGAGTATGAAATTCGTTCATTCAATAAATCATGGAAAAGGTAATTGAAAGGACAGATATAACGACCTGTCGAGATCGAAACTCAATTAACCTGAAATCATGCATTTATTACGAAATCGCATGTGTCGGAGAAACACTTCGATAATATGAACGAAAAAGCACTTAATCAGACGATTTCAGACCAGATAACTGAAGTTCACTACTTTTATTCAGATTGCAAGGTGTGTGATTATTGTTCCGTAAGAAAAAAAAACCAACACCTGTTGTTAAGTACGAGGTAACTTACACAAACATTAGCGGCGATGATAAAAAATATGGATGAGAAATGTAAAACAAGTGCAATCGCAATGTCTATAATTTATCCGATGCGAGACCAAGTTGGACCGCCCCGTCTAATGTACATCCCCACCGCATCGACCAAAAATAAGTAAGCACATGGTTGCAGCAAGTAGCATTTTTAAATGAAAGGTCTGGCAAATGGTGCACCGCACAATCTAGTCTATATTTACTAGCTGAGAATAGCAAAATGAAATTGAGAAAGTTAGAACAAATTTAAATATAAGACAGGGCTTAAAGCCGATGCAAGTTCATCAACACACATAAGGTGAAAAATGTAGGCACCAACCATCCAAGTACTTCTGGAGGTAGTCCATTCTAGCCAGAAAGAAGTAACATCAAGGCCGTAGATGCGAACTGTTCCTACCATAGTAAAACAAATTATTATAGCCCTGATAATGGCGTTTAGATTAATAGGCCTAAATTTAGTCAATAAAACCTAAAAATTCGTTAGTATAACTGCTATTTACTAGATAAAAAGCTGTATCCTCAATTTTATTATCATCAAAGTGTTATTAATTAAAAATGATAATCGGATTACAATGAATTATGGGACAGCAGTTGCCAGCCTTTCAATCTTAAATGTGCAACTGGAAATTTTTTTATGATTACTTATCGCTGTGCTTGAATTTAGTGAATTTTCTATCTCTATGCTTGTACAATATACAATTTTCGAAATAAGTACAGGTGACGCATAAAATGACTTAAAAATTTAAATTTGCTGTAATATCTCTAAAAATTTGCATGACAGCAGTTACGCAAACCTACTTTCCACTTTTTTGGTATTTAACTATTTTTATGAAAAGTATTTTTGAATTTTTTATTCCTTTTGTTATCCTTATATTGAGGTTACTCACAATAAAATGAAAACAAATAATTTCGGTGCCGGAAGAATTAAGTTCGTGAAATCCCTTTGGACATTGACATTTCGGTTTTTGCACGCATACGCAGATGCATTGAACCTGGCACAATGGCCAGGGTAACATTAACAGATTGATGCTATTTGTGGCTGTAGCCGATAATTTTTAGACCTTTTACTAAATAACTCATGTCTTACTGCTTGTCATGCCTTTTAATCATTCATGGAATAAATAATACAACATTATCGCCCCAACATGTTGCACAACCTGAATCACAATTTTTTGCACAAGAGCGCTAACAGAATGGGAATTAAGTTTGAGGATGCTTGTACTTTTCCTATGACTAGCAGAAACAGTTGAAGTAAATTTTAAAGCCTTTGTTATTCGCCCAAACACGAGGAATTAATATGTCATTGATGTATTTGTACTAATACTGAGTAATTGCGATTAGGCACATCATAAAAACTTGCTAATTCACAAAGTTCTTATATTTTTATTTGCGCATTACACATTTCATTTATATAAACGTTTCCGTGATATGGAATACCTGCTGGTTTTGCCTATGTTATTGCATTAAAAAATGTGAGTCACGGGTTCTGAATGATAATAATCATAGATTCCTTGCCGCTTTTTTGATGTCCGAATCGCGTACATTCCTTTACCTCACCATAGAGGCAGCCCATAATCATTCATAGGCAAATCTTTGTCATATTAATGGCACCATACAGTTTGATCAGTTCGCAAGCGGATCCGAACTTCTTTAGCACGTCAGCCGAATGTTCCTCGAGCACTTAAAATTGTAGAAGACCAGCTTACCATTAAAAAGATCAAAATTTATGATATAGTAACTTGAGATGACAAAAGATTACTCGTATTCATTAGGGGCCAGACAACAGTAATGAAACACTATGTTTAAAAAACAAGACACCAGATCAACGTAATGAAATCTACCATCAGAATGTTGTAAGAGGAAAGCCTTTAATCGTTTTAAGCAGTCAAGTAAATTATTAAATGAAAAAGTGTGATAGCAAATTTCAGCTATCAACGAAGCGCCTCCAATACATCTTTACCCTCACGTTTTAATCACGACGACATTGTTTCCGAATACAACCGGATTTAAATGAAGCGACAAAACCAAATATCGTAAGGCTCCATATGATTCACGTAACAAAAGCATTATTGGACAAGTTAGCATTTCCATATTGCTACATAACAGGCAAAAAGCACACTACTGGACAAACATAGCATCGCGCACTTCAAGTCCAAGTTCTTTTTAACTATTTAGTTATCCAATTTAACGAATTTTGATTTTAAAGGACGCGATGCCGTAAGTAAGTGTTTACGAATAGCAATACTCCTATTTTCTCGTGGGAGATTGCGAAATGAATGAATGGATCAGCAAATACATATAAATATTTATTGTAACATGGGTGAAAAAGCGTGACCGCGGATGGGAAGTGTACGTGGGAAAGCTCTCCACACTTCCATTTGGCACAGAAAAATAAACAACCTCAGCCAAAAATTGACAAAACAGTCTTCAAAAAAAAACACGTACACGTTCTGGAAAGACTTTGATTGCACTGAAGCGAGCCAGGAAAGAATACAAGGTCAGATTTCTTACACAGATTGGGATGGTGAAGAGTTAAAGTAAAAATGACAAAGCCTATTGTCAGTGACGCGTGGCCGCTATTACGGCCGCCAGTGAGCCCTGATGATGGGGAAATTGGATGCCTTGGCAGGCAGAAACGACGGCGCCCAGAGTCGAGGACTCTGCTAGTGGAAGTGCAGAGGGAGCAGTCGCTGGGGTCACATCCGAGAAAGGTCGCCGTTTGGCAATAGGATTTTGCGCGTCACCACCATCCTCAATCTGGTCGTGTTTGACAATCCAGCTGTCGTCTGGTCGCAGACGCAACGAGAGGGTCCGGACAGGTACATGGGATTGGCCCTGATCGGGCCCCACAGCAACAAGAGAGAGGGTGAGTCTACCTGCAGGGGGGACCTGTAGAGGTTCAGCTGGTGACTGGATGGCTGGACAGGAGGATGAAGGATCTCCTTCTGTAGGTTCAGGGAAGGTAGTATCCGAACAGCCATGGTCGAATGAGACGGGAGGATTCTTTGGCTGTACAAGGTCTTCCGAACTCCCATTAGCTAATGTACATAACAACGTAAGAATAGAGTTAACGTGTTGCGGTTGCACTAATATGTCTTTCAAGTCACATTAAGCACGAGTTTGCAATGGGAGCAGATAATTTTTTTTTTCTGGGGAAAGATCCAGATTTCTACACAGTGTACGCAGACGTGCGACTGGTATTTCGGAACACGGGAATATTAGTCGCGAGAATTAAGATTGGAAACCTCATATATGGAATAGGGTTGATTAGAAATTGAATAAGTTATAGGGGTCCGACGGTACCGCACACGGCATTAAACATCGTAATTCCTTCAAGTAATAAGATGGCTCGCAACGCTTCAGCAACCGGCTTTCAGCACACACGGTCCGGTTTGAAACATGAATTTTGGGGAGGCCAAAAGAAAGCAAAGGCCAAGACAAATTGCCGATTTTGCTAGGGAAGTAGACAAAACGTACTAATTTTTGTCCTTGGGTGGAATGAAGGCGTCAAGATGACATCATGCTCACTAATCGAGGAGCAGCAGCTTTCTGGGGGTGGGGAAGCAGGGGGATGCGGCGATGCAACCGTCTGATCACACTCTTTCGCAGGATCGAGGCTGAACTCACACGAAGATGCACTGCTAACCGAGACATTAGGCGCGGAGATGGTCGTTGTGGGATAGAGTGGGGATTGGGCTGAGGTCATAATAGGCAGGGCATACTGCAGTGTAGAACTCGTTGCCGCCGACGTGGTTGGAAGTTGGCGATGCTTGAAGACAGGTGTGGGGGATGACTTGGAGCGACAGACCACAACGCCCCCGTTCCCCACACCCTCGTACACGTCCGGATGCCAGTGCCGGATGCGCTGAGAGGTAGTGGCCAGCACGGTTCTTCTTAAGCCTCCCGGGTACTCGTTGGGAGTTTCTACGGAATAACAACAATGTGAGGTCAATGGTGGTAAAGCAGAGTGCATGCCAGTGACACCGATGAACTACAGAGTTAACCCGATTGCCCACAATCACGACAAGTAAAAAGCAAATCGCTAACTCGACATCGAGGATTCAAAACTGTAACCGCTAAACTGCGATTTCACAAAAACAGATTTAATAGGACTCTAACGCATCTTTCAGAAAAATTGCACCTTACTCCAGTTTTATCGACAACTAGATTTAGGAGAAGTCAGCATTCCCAAAGAAAATAAAAATGTTAACTGTTCCATTCACACCCTTCTTCGTTCACATGACTATCTTAACGACGGCGCTTCAATGGTCACCATTTGTCTAGCCACGCAATCTAGGGTCAAGGTCACCCAGGGCGTATATAAGCCGTCCATTCTGATGTGCAATTCGTCCCTTGAATGAAACAACAAAGGTCTCTGCACAAGGTGATGTTTTTGTCATGGACGAGGAAAGTAGAACTAGGTTATGAGAAATCTTAGTTATTCTAAATCGGCACGTTTATGACGGTTTATAACTAGACTAACAACAGAGGTACCTGCTAAAAACTGTTAGTTTACCTTCCTCGGGATCTGACATTTACAATACCAAATCTAAAAACGTTCTCATCTAAAACCCATTTTTCTAAAAAAAACGACTTTATTTGTTGGAATTATTCGAAAGTAAACTAATAATATTTCTCACTTCATGAATAGTATTTTTAGTGGTTGATTATTCGGCGACTGTGTGGTTGGCGATGTCAAGTAAAAAGCAAGTTGAGACTATGAGTACCCGGGATGGATGGGTGGTTCGGTTGTCAGACTTCTCGTTGAGTGTTGAGTAAGAGAAACCAAAATTAGGGCCAATTGAGCTGTGCTTAGAGGTTGGATTCGCAACTAAACCAGATTGTGGCGCCTGGTCAACCTTTAAAGGCCATGAAGTTGAGGAAAAAGCACATTGCGCACACGTAGACCAATTGGTTGTAAAGTGCGAACACCATTATACTGAACGATCGCTAGCTGGGTCCCGAGAATTAGACGCTTGGGTCAACAGGCAGAAAAGGGGTGAACTTCTTAGCAAAATAAGGGTGCAACTTACGAGAGGCCTCTACCCGCTCTTCACGGTTCTGTGTGGGCTGGGGGAAGGATTTAAAGGCGAACAGTTCCGCTTCCAAATCTACAGGACCTGACGGACCAGCTGGTGGTTCCAGCGCGTTGTAATCTTCCGTTATCTCCTCAGGACTTGCGGGTAGTGACCGGCTGCTGCCATTCGAGACTGGGGCATCAGCAGGTTTCAAGGAGTTCAAAATTTCGGCGTGATTTTGAAAAATGGCGCTGTGACGATGGGCACTGACAGCGAAGGCAAAAGTGACGGAAAATTGGTGATGTGCTCAGACAAATGCCAGTGTTAGGACAAAGAGTATGAAACACAATTTTTCGCAAATCACTTTCCGAGGCATAGAATCAAACTACAAAACCGGGCCCTGAAGCACATTCATTATTAAAGGTGGGCGCAAAGAAACTCCAACAACCCAAATGATACGTGATCAGTCAATGCTCCAACTGCAGAAAAATAACATGCTGATGTTTACTCTCGTCATCAAAAACCCCACCACCGTGATTCAGGAAGTCTTCAAATAAAGATGCCAAATTTATTAAACAGATCCGCAGCATGAATTTTGAAAAAAAAACAGATTTACTAATAAGTATGACCGGCCTATATGTTGTTGCGAAAAGGCCTAAAATCGAAAGTGATATGTGTGTGAGAAAGTTAACGTCCATCCACCCACAAATGCCCTTGCAAAATGTTGGCACTATTTGGACAAATTGTGGTATCACTCTGAGTTCTTACTTGGCAAGTACTAGTAAACACTCATTACAAAACGTCATATTACTTAAACTTGCACTTTAAAAAAATTGGAGCCATTGGTCATGAATAAAACGACTCATCTGAATTTACGAGCTTGGAGGAAGGCATAGAAGATGGCTGTAGGGAGAATTATGCTCAATTTGATGAGGGGCATAGGCATTAACAGCTGTACACGCATGCGTATTAATGGCACTGGTTTGCGATGAAGGAATTACAAGGAACAACAGCACAACTTTTCGACTCCTTGTTACATTGCGCACCGAAAATGAAGATTACAAACAGTAATTTGCAGAACAGATCTTTATGAAAGCTAGAAAAACATTAACAATAACCCTATTAAGTTATTGGACGAAGCGGAAAGGAATCGGACACTACGTGCTGCTTCGAACAGCCTGAAATCTATTTTTGTAAATCAGTGCTCGAGTTGTGGTCACTTGAAGTCGGTGCAAAAGTGAGTCACTGATGAATAGTCGTGTTCGCGGAGACGTCGCCGAACCCAAGAATTCTGCGGAACCGAACAGAGCCTGGCTAAGACATATCGCCTCGTCTGTACTCCTTGCTTAAGATGAGACCCCGGACCTTTCACTTATCCGTGCGTCAATGAAAAATATTTGAATTGACCAGAGCAAGCATTGCTAATCACACACATTTATTTTCCCTAGGATGAGAAAGTACGGTAATTTATAAGTGTGCAGTTTATGAGGCGGCAACTCCCGCCATGTCCAAAGAGGAGCAGAAAATTAACCATTGCCCACTGGTCACTGTTAAGTAAAAATGCTTGGCCCAACAACATGGCTGCGCGTAGAAACGGGGTTTGGGGACAAAAGGCGCGTCGTCCACAGGGTGTGCCTGCTGCAGCAAAGCGAGAAACATGAAAAGTCAAGAATACGGGCTAAAGGATTTGAAGGACGGAGTATTTAGATGAAGGTAGTTTTAAGGCTTTCTTTAAGCAAAGGAAAACAATGAAGCCACAGGCATATGGCAAATTAATGAAATTACTAGAAGTCACCTGTGGCAAGAACTTATGGCAGACTCACACACACCTGGCTTCCAGGATGCCTTGGTAGGTCTCGAGTTGGCGGAGGAAATTTGCATTTGGATTCACGCAGGGCCTCTTGCTCTTGACGAACTCCAGTGCCTCCTCTAGCTTCCAGCCCTTCTCTTTCATCACATACGCCGCTACCTACAAAATACGAGCCACTCAAGCAGAAGTTGACACTGCACTTTGTGAAGAAGAGGAAGAAAGTCTAGCTCTACCATCAGCAACAACAGGAGGCAAAAGTAATCATAAGTCCAAAGCTGATGTTATTATGCACCGAGGCGTTGGAATTCAGCAAAAAAATACTACAGATATGGGAGAAGAATGTGAGCAGTAGGTGTTAACTAAAAGTAACAATACAACTTGCAGACAAAACAGCAGATTATGCCAAGTGGTGGAATTATGAAGAGGTAGGGTTGGCTTTTTAAGTGAACTTTTATCGGCAGATGCATAAAATGAATAATGAGAACTTACGGTGGCACCAGATCGGCTGATCCCCATTTTACAATGGACGAGACAACGTGTGCCATTACTTCTAAAAAGGATATAAAAAAATGGCACTATAGTGCTGCAAACTTGTGCATTTGACTACCAATCCCAAAATACCTGGTTTCCCATAAAAGTTGCAAGCTCACTGCGTTTGAATGTGAAAAATGCCAAAAACAGATTATTTGTTGCCCTGATTTAAACGCATGAGCAGAGGTTCGTCTTTGATTTCGACGCAGACAATAAAATAAGAATGGGGCAATGAGTGACACGAAGATATTAAGTGAAGATCATGCAATGCTAACGCGTAAGTCATAAATTTTTATGAAGACGCAGTAATTGGTACAGGAGATGGATCGATAACTCCTCACAAGTTACCAAGCGCTTCAAGACCCTAACCAAAAAGTTGGTCCAAACTTCTGAGGGCAAGAATTTATTTTAATAACTTGACTATTGGTGCTTAATTTCCAATCATTGGATGCAGACTACTTCTGTACGGAGCACACCTCGACTAAACTTAAGTATTTGGCGTCTGTTGAGCCCTTCATACAATTCACACGTATTAAAAGAAACTTCGGAAGAAGTTACGACAATTAATTAAAAAAGAAGTAAAGGCCTTGTTGGAAAAAGACAATTAAGATTAACAAAAGAGGAATGTATCAGTGATCAGTTCCCTTAGACGAAAAAAATCTTTCTGAAGTCGATACTGTTATACTAAATGCGACGCGGCTTTCATTAAAGTCATTAAGTTATGCGGCAATGGCCACAGTCTGGCGTCTGGAGGTAAAAGAGACAGGCGGGTAGTGATTGAGTGCGAGAGAGCGGAGGCAGGAGGAGGGCCGCGACCACTGACCCCGGGTGAAGGAACTCACACGAATAAGACGAAAATGCGCGAGAGCACAGAAGTCTACAACCCGTTTTTCACATCGCATAAATTTGACCTTAAGAGGTACGACCAATAAGCAACAAAATTGGTGGAAAGACTAGCGTGCACTTCCCCTTTTACTATGTTTACTAGAACAGTGCGAATAACCTAACATTAGTTTAACCAAAATGGAACTCTGTGAGCACAAGTCACCTTAAAGTAGGTAGGCAGAGGTTAAAGAAAAGCAAAGTAATAAGCCAAGAACTGAAATGTCCACGAAAAGTTGCAGAGACAGAGCTATTCGAACATATATGTGAGAACTCGGTGGAGAGGCAGTGCAAAAAATAAGCACACAAAAACCTAGGTAAATTAAACCATTCGCTCTCAGGAACGTTCAAGGTAGACAGCAACGGAAATTTTTTACTGACAGGGCCAGCTAACCTTAGAAAAAAAACACCAGCAAAATGGAGAGTTGAAAGTGCGTCTAATCACTGGAAATGTTACGTTAGTAAAGAATCACTAATTCTGGAAATATCCGCACAATCGCAAAGTTGTGTAAATCGGTGTCGATCGCGTTCCTTAGCGTCATGGGCACACGATAATTCTTTGACGCCATGAACACCAATTTGAAATTCCTGGGTTTAGTAACAGGTCCTTGGCCAAAATTAGGCCCAACATCAAAGTAAACCGCAGGATTGCATTTGCGGCACAAGAATGGCTGGGGGCGCATGAATCTGTGGGATCAAAAAGGTTTGTCATGAATCAATATGCAGGATCAACAGGAGGGTCCAAGTAGCCAATAGCTAACGAACACCGATATCGGGAAAAAAGTCGAATAGTTGGAGGAGGAGCCATTAAATCACAGACCGGAACAAATCAATTAATGGTGCAGGTGGGGCATTGCACAGTAGAGAACAAAGCAGAAGTAAACGCCATTTTAGAAACTCAGTTGGGCGACATGGTACAAAGCAGACCATTTATGAAACAGGAGACTGACAATTGAAGTTAGATTTGGGTTCACAAAAGCACTAAATTTATACACGACTGCACCAGCAGCAGTGACGTCATGGCGATAGCGCCAGGACATCGCACGTCATAGTTCATCGCGCCAGCATAACCTCGTGATGAGCAAATATGCCAAAAAATGAGGTAGCAAACAACAGCGTTGGTAGCGGAGAAACGTGATACGGTAACAGGCCACCTACACAAAATACAGCCAAATCGCCATCGAGGATTAAGCCTGGGCACAAGAGAAGAAGTTTACGCGAACAAGACATGAAACCTACCACCAAACTGGTAAGAAAACGACATTACTTTATCGTAAAGTAAAAGGCTGGAAACGGATCAAACTGCTTACAGTAGCGAGTCGCATTATTTTAACACAAATAAAGCATTACTGACAAAGCTATTCGCCTTGCGAGTTCCAGGGCTTCTGTTACCAGTTAAACTCCCTTTCACGACCTTTAACTAGTTGTTAAACCATTAAATCTAACAAGCGTGATTAATTTTGACCGAACGTTGATACACTTGCCTTATCGCTGATGCCAGAATTTTAATTTGGACGAATTTCCTGTCATGAGACGAACACAAAAAACGAACTACTTAGCGACATTTATGTTATCCGAAAAAAAGCAACACCTCAAGATCAAAAGAAATTGGTCTTTACCAATAAATAAGTATATATACGAATAAGAATGCATAACACTAGATGCTGTACACTCAATTGGTGCCATTATTGCCTCAACTTGAGCGATTTTCACACAAACACACACACACACACACAAACGAGTAAAATGCACCAGTACGTCCGTTGAGTTCAAAGTACGGGAGTACACTTGCCTCACAGATCTGTTACAAAATATTTTTTCAAATTTGAACGAAAATTTGTTTTAAAGGCAACAAAAACATTAGAAAATTACAAGCAGTCTGATGAAGTTACTACCTCCATGGACATTACATTGACCGCTTGTGAAAAAGCACATACTATGATTACCAATGTTTTTGGACGAAATCAAGCAAATTTTCTTAGGGTGTATAAATATAAGTGCGGAAATCTTTTATGAATGTGGATCAACATTTTTTCGCACTTGAAGGCTACATTCTGTTCACATAGACACAATTTGATAAGTTATAAAACACGCATAACTTGACTTGAATTAATAACGGGAGTCCGATAAGAATCACAGCGACAATATCAACGACAATCTTGGCGCTATGTTAAGATTCTTCAGTTACGAGGCCTACCATAGCAACAACACCAAAATAAAATTTGATTTAGCCAGAAAAAGAGGATCGTTGCCTCTTATTGACTGAATATATGATTACGAAGATGACGAAGCATCGTCATTCTGTTCACCTAGTAATCACAGCCTGTGGGCTAAAATGTAAACACACGCAAGCGGGTTTAACAAATAGACAGCATATTTCATAAGGCCTATCAAGATGTTCTAAGAGAATATTAACAAGACGTCATCACCACTACCACTTCCATCAAGAAAATATGGGTGTTATGTTTCCAACGAATTGAAAACCTTATGCCCAACAGGCAGCAGAATGTTAATGCGAGGTTCACGCAGCATGAAGTACCGGCAAAGTGTGTCGTGAATTTCCGACGACAGATGAACCTGTCTGGAGAATAGACAGCAAATATCATCCAGGCGATGTAGAGCACTTGCATACTTTCCTGTCAAAAGGTAAATGTATGCCGAAGCTTTAGTTGAGATTCGATTGTCTGATACCGAAGAAAGCCAGCATCTTACTGCTTAGTGTGACTGACTGGGAAGCTAGAGGGTACATGAATCAGGTAACCCACCTTGCCTCATTAATAAATTTGTAGGTTTCGTCCCAATGGGGCAAGAGCTGGGCTTTCTCATCGTCGTAGACACGGATATTCTTGTAGACAAAGTGCTCGGCTGGGAAGAAGTTGTCCACTTCGCGGGTTACATTAACGATGTGCGTGACGTTGTTGCGTCGCAGCTCATCCCCGTTCGAGGCGTTGAAGGAACTGCCCAAAAGAAGGTGGTCGAAAATGAAAGAGGGAACGTCCATTTGACCGTAGATGATGAGCACCTGGTCGGCGATGAAGTGGCGATGGTCTTTCAAAGACATACCCATCTGCGCCTCGAGCATCTCTCGGAGCTGAAACGTACATTGAACGATGTGAGTAATGCAAAAAAACTAGTACTACATCAACATCATAGGAGAGGCAGGTGGGTAGTAATTTCACCCCACCAGCGTTATCGTCTCAAAATAAAGAGACGTCTGGAAACATGAGAATACTTAGAAGCCCCGTTCAAATTGCATTTACATCTAAAACAGCTGACGAAGCTGTATTACCTGTCAGGAGTAAAATAATCGAGAAAATCCAAGTTAAAACATTTACTCCAAACAGGCACAAGACGATTTGGCGATGAAATTTTGTGGCCGGAGCATTGATGCCTGACTGACCGACGCATTAGATTTTTTAAAATTTCGGAGCGACATGCATAAGTGCATAGGAAAAACCTTATCTTAGCGGTGATGATTTAAACTGTCAGGCGAGGGGTCTACTGACAAGCAAATAGTAGTTTTGCTGGTTCTAAACCAGAATAAATGGGAAAATCCGCTTTCATTCACATACATCCTCAATTTAATCAAGCAGAATCGCTTTATTACCAAAATAACTACCTCAAAAATGTGTTCGCAGATATTAACAACAATTCGAAAAAGCAAAGAAGTATAATATCAAAGAGGAGCGACATTCGCCTGAAATGAGCATTAGGGTGATAACCTGGCGGACAGTCTTCGCATTTCATCGATGGATTACGAACAAATATCATTTGAAAAAATGTCCATGTAGCGACTAAAGGTTAAAGCATGCTAAAGCATGACAAGTAAACAAGTCCGAAAGCGACTTGATGTTTGCGCACCTGCCTTCGGGAAAAACCGAAGTGGGTTTAGAAAGAGCTGTTATGCACGCATACAAGTGGCCAGCCAATGTTGCCAACCCTGAAAAGTCCCAGCACATAAACATTGGCCACAGTGGAGTAGAATTCAATGAATGAAGTAAGCAAAGTGAATGCTATTACCAATGTGGGCAAAATGGGGGCAATCAAACGACTGCTGCCAGAATGGATAGAAAGTCCATTCAGCTAAAGCACATACACACTAGAAGCTTAGACACATGCCAAAAACTAAAAAAAATAGTATATCATGTCCATTCGGTCATATTTCGCGCGAATGAAGCCAGTTATATTGCTTGCTTTACGGGGAAAACCTACATAAGAATAGCGAAACGGAAAAATAAGGACCTATATATGGCGGAATAGCTAAAATGTAACAATCGCGAAGAAATCGTCCATATTTGAATTATTTTTTATACATTCTTACCCACGATTCAATCTATGTTTCTACGTTAGCAAAGGTAACAATGCTGCACCACAAATGATGGCTGACATTTGAGCAGGTCTGACACCTGTAACACCGCATAGAACTGACCCTCCGCTATTACCGGAGAATACCAGTTTGCGTGTTTATATCTTGCTGAGGTGTGTGACCTTTTTGGACAACTTTGGCGACTTGGAGAATTTGAAGGGGCCATGATATGACCCCCAGAGCATGTCATTGATATTCGCAAAAATGAATCGATTTAATGCCAGTTTGAGAATTAAGAGAACGGTTGTGCATTAATTTTGGTGTACGCTGCATTTAAATGGGATTACTTACATTTTGAATAAATGCTAAGGAGTCCACATTACAAAAGATGGAAAGCATCAAAAAAATCGGGGAATCAGGAGTTAGGGTACCCAATATATACCAATGATTTAACACTTAGTAAGCATTATCAAATGATGAATTACAAATGTTTGTTTGAATGCATAGAAAATTTTGTAGTCAGTCTACTCCAACCATTGGGGATAGCTTGGGATGTTTTCTAAGCCACCTAACCTACTAGTGAGACATTGTACAGTGGGGATGTTGCTATGGCAATCGTCTGCATTCTGCAATTAGTCATGCCTGGACTGTGTGAAGTAACTAGCACCAGTATTGCATACGGTAGCCGATGAAGCGACTTATAAAAACAGGACAATGCTGAAATCCCAGTTGTAACTTTAATCAAAAGCCCACCCTCATTACAGTGATTTTCCACGACTTACCACGAGCACACCAAAACATTTAGCACAGAGCAAGAACAAACTACGAGATCACGCAGATAAGCAAAACAAATCCAGTTATTTTGCTAGAAATCTTGTGGGTTGAACACCGTGGCTTTAAAGAGTCACTTTATAAATGACATGGGAGCAAAGTTAAACTAATTTTCGAAAGAAGACCTTGGAGTGTCACAAAACATGTAATGTTAGTGTTCTAAAAAGCAAATGTTCTTGGAGTTCGCTGAGTGTGATAAGCAATTTCTACTAAGATGCAATCACGGTAGCTTGATGCGTACCGACGCCTTCGACCAATTTACCACACGACAGAGGACTGAGATGCACACGCAGATAGGCGATGATTTCGGCCCGTAAAGCACTAGTCGGTAAAGTGCACAAGTTAGCCAGTAGTCTTGGCCATATTATTTTGAGTATAGGAACCACACAATCGAGTGTTATAATGAGATTATTGAAAGATCCACAACAACGGTGTCCTGCCTTGAACATTCCGCCACATACATGTGAACTTTTTTTAAAAAAATGTGCTTGAACACAAAGAATCAATTCAGGACTGCATTCCGGACTTGTAACTTCAGGTTCAAATGTACGCGGATTGAGATTAATACTCAAAGTTGGGACTGCATCGCTTCGGGTTTATTTGGCTAAATTATGATTTGATGGTAATTTTCAATGTCGCACGAGTTCGAGCATAGTGCGCAGGCAGAAGTGAAGAAGACATGAAAATTATTCTTATACGCACTTCACTAAAATCTTTGTGCCGAGATACCTGGTGTCGAAGTCGCAAAAAAGCATAAAGTGTAATAGTATGAGTATAGGCGAAGCGTAAATGGATCACGTATGGGAAATTTAATTCTTCGGCAGAATAGATGCGGTCAGGTGCATTAAACGCCAGTGACGATTTGGGAAAAGTACAAAACGCATGGAACGGATGTGGGACTTGTGCAAAGGAGCGACCACCGAGGCATTCAGTGTAAATTGCCAAATGACTCAAAAGCAGATGTGGAACTGAAGAGTATTAAAAAGAGAGACCGTGTCCATGAAAATGGTACATTTTGAATAAGGCACCATGGTCATTGATGAAAAAGTGGCAATCGAACCACTTAGGGTCGCTGATGCGAGAGCACACGTGAACGGGAAGTGACGAAGGTGACAGTTAACAAGGAAGGCTACACAATGACGACAAGAACAGCATCAACACAGAGAGGAAACTCACCGGCGTAATGGTCAAAACCACAAGTACAAAAGAATGTGGGGGCAAAACGTTGATTATGTGAGTGCGTCACATACGTGAAAATGAAAAAATAAATAAATATAATTGTCTTCCATCAGAAAATACTCAGTTAAGATAAATCTATTCATTCAAATGACGGAAAGGAATGCAGATAGAGATGACAATCAAACAAAGAGGACATGAGTCATTTACAAATAACAACATGGAGTATATCGAGCTTTTTTTGTCTCGATCATGCCCTTCAGGACAGGCGCTCTGCTAAGTTAAGCAGTAATTTCATTGGTGGAGTTTTCGACTATGGGCATTGTCAAGGCCAGATCAGAGGCCATAAATGTATATTTTTTGAATGAAAGGATTGTAAAGAAACACGCCAGGACTGCGCTCCTCTAGTTCTAAAATATGATTGGCTCAAGAGGACTAAAGAGCGATAAGGGTTACAGCGCGACTTCCTCTGAGGATGATTATCGAAATTATCGAAATAGGTTTCCTACGAAAACTGTTATTGTCCATCTGTTTGCCTGCAAGGAGCAAATGAAAGTGTAATGCCACTGTAACGTGTTACTACTGGGATGGCAAATAACGTGAAGGCGGTGACATAGTCACGTGGGCAGAGAGGAGCGTGAAGTCCACGTGATGGAAGTACAGAATCGATAAAATGTACGCCGAGGGTGTTGAACAGGCTGGGACCTAGCTGACGTAAAATACTGTCAGTGAAACGAAAAAAAACTTAAAATTATATTATAAAGCACAATGCCAAGAGACGTGATTGGAATAGAAGTTAGAGTTTAGCGACACCTGATGCGTCGGAACGATGCCCCTAATTCATGTATTAGACAGCCGAAATTCTAACTGCTAGAGCACACGCCTACACACGGCGATTCAAGCCGCATAACATAAAAAATCAAACCCAGTAAGGCTTGCTAAAATAATGCAATTTAGAAGAGTAAACTGTGTACGGTGCTCACAGAAGGCAACTAACCTGAACGATGTTGACATCCTCTAAGTCAACTGCTGCCATGATTTTTTGCAATTGAAGTCGAATTGTATTTTTGAAGTTTTCAGTTCTTTTTCTGAAAATCGACAGACATTTGCAAAAAACGGAGTTAAATTGCAAAAAAATCGTAAAAATAACTATACTTTCGAATATGGCAGCTTCACACAAGCAGAGGAGACGGCCTATATATTGTAAAATGCTTACTTATTGTCAATCAAAAATGTCATAATTGACAAGCCCCCGCACCTCCACTACAATAATAAATCTGCTTCGTGCTTTTACTGAACATCAGAGAATAACGCGTTGCAAGCTTGTGGCAAATTGCGTAGACTTTGGTTTGTAGGACAGACGATTCACCAGGCCAAGTAGCCTCGGAGGTTGGGGTGGATATCTCCGTGTCAGTGGTGTCTTAGGATAGAAATCCAGGTACCACACACACATCGCCACTACAAGGGCTCATTACCATCAAAAAGACTATGCTCATTAACTGTTAGAAAATCTCAAAATCTCAAAAAACGAGAAAAGGGTCACACACCAGACAAACGATGACATCGATTGCTTATCGGAAATTATGAAAGATCAGTTCTAAGAAGCTAGTAGTTTATGTCCTAATAAAAGTGCTTAAGTGAAGGTGTTGAAAGAGTTCATTTGTCGTTAATAAAGCGAGATTGAACGTTGTGGCATTCAACAATGGGAGCGTGTAAAACTACTTGTCAAAAGAAGTCTGTAGTTGACAAGTAGTTGTAGTGCACTTGGTTATGAGGATCACAACACGCGTTGCGAAGTTTAACCACGTACACTGTAACTGTGCCGTCATCTTTAGGCATTTTAATTCGGCATTGTGCAAAATTATAAAACATGTGCACGCATTGCACGCAAAATTCAGATTGCTACCTCATTTTGTTCTTTTCCAGTAACCAGATATAAACAGGATGAATGATTCCCCGGATTCTAACAAAAAACGATTGCTGCTTACTCACCTGTTTCAAGGTTTTCTGCTATGAAAAACCGTGCTAATTTAAGCACTTTTCCCATGGTTTATTCGCAACAGTAGCAGAGTAACGAAAAATTAAAACCCAAATATTTATTAAAACGTGAATACTTCTAAACATCTACGCGAAAGTAAGATTTATTACTTGCGAGAGAAAATTGGGGATGATCAGCCATCAGTATCAAGCATTAACTAATGACTAGATGCATAATTCGATTTAAAGATAACGACCCGAAAATACTCAGACAGATACATTAACATAAATTAAGAAGCAGCCTTTAAATTTTCATTTCTGTGATAGTCATTTGGAATATAGCCAATAAAGGCTAACAACTATATGGGCTTACTCGTCTTCCGTGACAACATTGCAGAACTCTGCTGTGGGTGGGGTCGCTCTGTTCATGTCCTCGATGTCTTCCATTTTGTTCCACTCAAACATCATAACTGGGTCAGAAGCGGGGAGCTTAGCATAATGTGAGATCCAAGCGTGGCTAGGGCCTTTTGCATGGTAGCCTCTTTGTTGCGCTACCTTACAACCGAGCATTATGGCCTGATGTGCGGCCCAGAGACCTTGGACAGAGATGGGCTTAAACAGGCGGACGGTATTCTTAGTTATTAATTTGAAACCACTAAAAAGAGATGGAGAAATAGGAGTTCAAAACAAGGCATGTTATTTGCTAAATATATCTTTCTGGTGGTACGTTTGGAAGCAAAACCACCGTTAAAGAATGCCAATGTCAGGTGTATGAAGGCACGGAGGGCAAGCATATGTTGTAAAATAACAAACGTGTAGCGCAAATTGAAACTTAGGTGGGGGACTTACCCATCACCATCAAGCGTGACAACGATGTCTTGAAAAATGGGTATAGTAAAGCCAATTGTGATAGCACCCTTATGAACGTCAACTCCCATGATCACAGACTCCTCGGCACCTTCAGAACTGAGCGTGGAAACAATAGCAAGATAACGAAACCAAACGGGTCGAGGGCTGGCGTTTTCTAGTTTCACAATCTTAAAACAAGATAGATAATGGAGAACAAACATACCAATTTGATGTAGTCATTGAAGCGGAGTATCTGAAGAATTCGTTTTAAATGCTCGTGCAGGTTGTCTACTTAAAACACTGAAAGAGAAAGCTCTGACTAACCATGATATCGAACAACACTGATCCGTCGTTGGGACTTTACGCTTAACGTCACGGCGCTTGTTTTGCGTAAAACAAAGTCTTCACTGTGACTAAAGTACAAAAAATTATACAAATGAAGCAAAGATTTTTGAAAAGAATCAACAACGGATAAAAACACTTAAACGCTCACTAAAATAAGTAATTTAGTGTGACTTGCCTGCTTTTTGAGCATGTTTCGGATGCTTGCTGCAAGCCCTCATCGACAGAAAACACTTGATCCTGCTCCTTAGAAAATTAAGTTGTATTTTATGGTGCTGAGTTACCTGTTCTTGTGAAATTAGCGTCCTATCAATAGTAATCAAGGACATCCTAATTTATTTATGCTACCCGGGTTTGTGGATGGTGAATTAAACAAATGGAGACAAATTGTTTTCCATTCTGATTATTTTTGCATTCTACTTTGCACATTTATTTTTAAACATTACAATTTTTATGCGTTATTGTGGGTTTTATCGTACAAATTCAACAATTATTCGAAATTTTGGAATTAATAGTTCAATTAATTGCTATTTTTAACCTCATGGTTCTATTTAGTGTATCACTTTATTTTAAAGGTTTTTTCTATGGACTAAAAACGCTTGGAGTCGTTTGTATTTTTCATAGGCATGGGCGCAAGGTTTAAGAACACTGAACGCCAATTACGAGTGAGTTAATTGATCCATGTAAATTGCAGAGATGAAGATGGAAATGGATAAGCAGCACATTCGATGCCACTGATTTCAAACAAATTTTAACAAGAAAAAAAGGCTTAGTAAGCGCAAAAATTAAATGATTGTGTTCTTGATTATGACGCAGTGTTTTGTAAAGCGTTAGCGCTACCAAATGGAAAAAATAAAATATCTGAAGTTGGATAAAACTTGTATTGACCGAACATGACCTAGGTCATCGTAAAAACATATACCTTTTACTGCTTGTCTGTCAATAAAAAGGGATTTTTGTGTAAAATTGTGACTGGTGATGAAGGCACATTTTTCGTAACGCGAATTCCAAACTTAAAAAGTGGTAGGTTGATCCCGATAAACCCAACACATTAACGCCAAAACTGGACATCCATGTGAAGGTTATCCTGTGAATTTGGTGGGACCTCGAGGATGTATTTTGTTGCAACCTGTTGCAAAATGGTCGTCAGACGGTGTCTACGGAACGGCACAGCCGACAATTGATCAAACTGAACACGAAACTTGACCAGAAAACACAATTTACCGGGTAAGGAAGCAGGCAAGTTACACTGCTTCTGCATGACAAGGCTTGGTCTCGCATAGCTTACACGACTCAAAAGACCCTCTTGACATTGTGACAAGAAGTTTTCTTAGACTTGGCCACATCCGACTTCAAACTGTTTTTGGTCAATGCAGCACGCCTTAGGGGATAAACAGGTCAAGACGCTGAAGGATGTGCATACGTGCATTAAAGGCTGCAAGTTCAGTAAAAAATCCGTACAAATTAATTCTTAGAGTTGGTTAAATACTCATTCTCGATTGTTCACTAAACCTATTTTGTACTAAAAGGCAACATCCAAACAGTCGTAAAACATAAAATTTTGATGACACAATTAAGATGCTTTTAAAAATATATACATTAAAGTACTTACTCCAAAAATATCGAAAAAGAGAAATAGCAGAGACAATTAAATATTGTGACTAGCCTTTCTATAATATAGATATGTGCCTAAGTTTTTTGGGTAGCCATGGCTTAGGCTCAAAAAAGGGAAATAATAACCAGGTGAAAAGTTTTTGGTGTCATTTGCTATTTTATGAATAATAATCCTTAAATTGTGATCCAAAAGCCTAAGCGGATGTCAATTTCTCTTCTCTGGAAACGAGACATGGATCGTATCTGCCCAAAGTATTGCAATTAAATAATTAGTTTATAATATCTGTGATGGTGGTAGTGGTGGCTAACAATGAGCACACAATGCAACGATTTGTGCTCCCTCTTTTAATAACAGACATACAAATAGTTACAATAATTAGAGCACTTGTGATCCACAGTTCTACGACATACCCATGAGGTGCATGCTGTTTACACCGTTTACTCCACTTTGTTTGGTATGAAATTGGCTGCAACTCCTTGATACCGCAATTTTTCTGACAGTTAAGTTTGGAACGCAAGTCACAAAGTTCATTCCACGACTTATGATTTCTACAGATCTTCATTAAGATTGTGACGATTTGCAGGATCATTGAGGCAGAGTTAGTTCGTTAAAATGTCAACATATAAGTTTTTGAAATGTTGTAAATCTTGCAAATATTACTTTTCAGCAAACAAATTGAAAAATATATACATTGAGGTCATAAGAAAAGGTTAATATTTTTTTCACCCACAATGTTCGATTTGGCCCAAGTTAGCATTTTTAATTTATAATCATCGCAGTTGCTGACAAATTTGCTTTCCCGAAGACAGTGTTTGTGGTTAGTAGGCGACCTAACAATAAAGTCATAGCTTGCTTTAATTATCTAAATTTGTGCATTTCTGTAGATTCATTAAAAAAATACTTTTTAGTTTAGGTACATTTTGTTAAGGCATTTTTGAATAAATATATACTACAACCGGAATACATAGGTGTCATTTGAGAGACAAGAAAATACTTCACAGCTTTTAGAATACACAAACAATTATAAAGTGTAGTGAAACACAGCCTTCTCACGACTTAATTGTCACTTAAGTGCAGATAAAATGCCATAGGTACTTTCAGGGATTTAATGAATTAGTGAGTAGTCACTTTTAATCCAAATGCAGCCAAGTTTGTCTGTTAGTACACAGTTATACCTTCCGGATTGCCAAAATGAGTCGATTTGTTTAATATATTCATCTGTTTTAACATTTCCGCCTTTTCAAGAAGAAAATTTAAAAAGGACTTAATAAGACCTGAGCGGTTCAGACTTATTTTACGTTTAGTAGATCTTGTCACTGGCCTTCACCTTGCTATGTACTCTAAAAAATCTTAGACCCTTCGAAAAATAGCTATTAACCTATAGCATTAAGTCCCAAACCTATTTTGATTTTGTTCATTTTGCTTGATTAGCCATCCAAATCTTTGGTTCTATGTGGACGCGCTAAAAACACTTGATAAACAGAAAGAAAAACATTCCGAACGTTTTACCAATTACCTATAAGATAATTTATGGGAACTAGCCATTCTTTAGCCCTTGGATTCAACTTTTTAGCTGACCATTGCGTGGTCAGACTTCCCCACCGTTTAGAGGAACAGGATGAAAGACTTCAAAAGTTAATAAGCTTGTATTAAATCGCATTCGCGTCGTCTCGTGTTAGTGCAAAATGATACCACAAGCCATATGAAATCTTAAAACATAGCCCGTTTTGGGGGTTTTAATGCCCTCTGTTACCAGCATTTGCAGTACCAATAAGTACACATGCTTAGACCCACCATATTTTCTTGCACATCTGATTTTGTCCGGTGAAAGGAATGGTATTTTCAATGACTTAACGATGCCTCAAATTGGAAGCAAAACGTATGTATTAAATGAGTTTGATGTGAAACTAATGGGTGATTTACTGATTCCAAAAAAAATGGCCATGGAACCAGAGACTGGCTAATGCCTGGACGCTCTAGTGCCTCTGTTCTTTCTAGTTCGCCGTACTCAATGGCGCATATTAAAACCTGGTTTCGTTTTACTGGGATATTCATTCCTCAAAAACCCTGTAGTGGACTGACAGCCGCCCCGCGCGAGTGTGCGTGCATAAAGGCCCGTGTGTAGCAATGACTCATCCCCTTTTGTTATTGATTTTTGTCAGCATTCGTCTGTTACGCGCGCGTACTCATACGCAGACAAAGTCACTTGGTTGTTTTGACATCAATAAACCGGTCGTGTCCGCTCTCGCCTCTTCTCCACTCTACTCGAGTTGTCTTGGGCTGGTAATTAGAGGGTTGTAAGGTAGTGCTAAGATCAAGCTACTACAACCCTGTACATTAGCATCAATTATAACTAATACACCTGCAACTGCGGAATGCACCGTTTTTAAGAAAAGTTGAACGATTCTGTTGAGGTTTGTCTGAATGCATTTAGGAAAAATCTTTTTGATCCAAGTTGGTTATAGGGCCTGTTGTCAGTGCGTACCTGGGGAAACCTCGACAAGCCACATGTACCAGCTCGGATGGGGAGCAGGAGGTGACGCGTAACACAGGCGGCAAGGCGATGTTTGCCACTATCGATTACTCACATTTATTTTGCTTAACAGGCAGTTGCTGCCCTGACTGTGGTACGGGGAAGAGCAATAGTGGGATAGACAGGCGCGTTCACAGCCCTCGCGCATGTACAATCGCGTTGACTTCACTTCAGTCTCAGGATGCCTTCATAGAGTGAGCCAGGGCGCAGGGAACAATGGCGATCAACTTCAATAAGCTTTTTCTTCAGAACCTCTTGCCAAAGGCCCAGTCTGCCGCTCATACACAGGTCTCCTCTTTTGGCAGTTCAGAGGGTGTTTTTGAGAATGCCACAGCGTTAGATTACGTTGGTGTTGACGAGCTGGATTACTCTATGGACGCCGAGGATCAGCGAGAAAGGGAGACGGAGCGGTTGTCTCAGACACTGGAGATTCTCAGGCAGCTGATTGACTGCCATAACAGAAGGCGGGTCGCAGTAAAAGATTCATCGGGATCTCAACTCGCTCCGCCCTTTCAGCAAACTCCTACGAACTCCCATATAGAACACCATCCAAGACACAGGAGGAACACACTGAGTCACCAGCCCTATCAAGTCGACGCAGCACCAGCCTGCAAAGACTTTTCAGTGCACAATGCGTCCCGAGCGAATGAGAGGATGTCTAAAAAATCAGAAAAGGTTAGCCTTTAACCAGAGACTAAAGTGTTTACTGGGTGAGGTTCATCTTGTTAACCCGAGTCAATTGTGCTTAATTTGGTAAAAAAAATAGAATTTAGCAGAACGACGCTTGAATTATGAAAATTTGCAATCAAGCAGTTAGAAAGATTTAAAATAGCTAAATGACGGACAAATTCTTCAATTCAGAGATCCCTTCTATATGTTATTTTGTGATCCTTTCGTCATTCGCCTTACTCAGTCGACCCCGGTTACCCTGTTATATTGGCAGCTTACAATCAGGGTTGTGTGAAAAATTCCATTAAAGTCTAGAATAGTTTCTTACTTAATGAAATCATGGTCTAGTTATTATAACAAGTGAAATTGAAAGGAAACCAAGCTTATTTGGGTATTGTGCTTCAAGGGGGAAACGATGTAGCCACTTTCCAAACCGATTTGGAGGAGCACTAAGGAAGCGGGAAACATGTTTAGCAGCAGCTGCAGAAGTAGGCCGTGAAGACCGTCTGAGAACATCTATGATACAGCGGGAACTTGGTCCCTATCTTAATTGCCTCAGGCCAGAATATATCCGAGGCATTACTTTGTCAAAATTTGCGTTCCAAGTCGGAATGTAACAGGTGGTCAACGCAGACCCTTTGAGAGGTGAAGGACGGAAGGAATTAGGTGTTTAGTTCGGTAAAGGATTGTAATAACTTCTCCCTAGCAAAATCAAATTTGTGCACCACAATATCGTGGGTGGTGTTTATTAGAAACATGTTTTTGTAGACAGTATGAAAAACAATAGTATACACGACTCAAAAACTAATGGGTAGCAATTAAAAATGACTATACATAATGAACACATTTCTCTTACCCACTTAAAATAACACGCCATTGAAGGAATCTTTAGGCCATTTAAAATTCAAATTTAGTTTTCAATTGAAGAACGCGAGATCCTTTGCGGTGTTTGAAACCTAACACAAACAGATATAATTTAAATTGAATTATTTATCCAAACTAGTAATCATGGTTTCGATATCGCGACTAATCACAATTACTGACTACTCTGCAGTTTGTGGGCTAGAATTGGTGGTGGATTATTGATTAATTGCGACAGGAAAATTTTCTGACCCGTAGAGGTATCAACCACTAAATTAACTTGGATGTCACTTGAAGTGCACAAATTCATCAAAATTTATATTTTTCTTTAGGTAACAGTGGAGGTGCGAGTGGTCTTTCTGAAAATTGGTGAAATCGACACTCTTAAGGAAATGTTTCGAGCGGACGCCTTTATTCAAACTAAATGGCCGGAACCTCGACTCAATGGGAAATCCGATGAGGTTTGCTCTTTTTCAGCATCACACATTATTCAAAGTTGCATTTTGCTTTATCTAGTTCAGTTTGGTTGTAATTTGCGGAAACCAAATCAGTGTGCTTGTGGCAAGTCTTATGCTCAGGCTTCAAAAAATCAGTTGTGTCCCATGTGCAGTCTCACATTTAGCTTGCTTTCAGTTTAAGTACGAAATCATGTTAAAATGTTCCAGGTACCTTAGGCTTTAGTCGACTCACCGAATCGTAGATGCTTACACGCCTAATAATTGCTTTTCTACCTAGTTCTAGAGTTACACAGAGGAAATGGAAAACTTGAGGAACCACTAGGGTAACTCATGATCAATTTTTAAACTTCGCAGTATTTTCAGGGTTCCCTCCTTGGTTAGGTAAGAACCCTGCTCCTAATATGACTGCAAGATGTGCAGCACAGAATGATCTTTTGGGCTCTATTAATGAGTTGCCTGTTGAAACCTAACTATACTCCTCCGCCGTATTGTTTACAGCTAGATTCTGACGGAAGCCAAACACATGATTATTGTCTGGGAAAACTTATTACATAAAAAAACTGACAAATCTACCTGTTCTTATACGATGTCAACTTAGTCCACGAAATGAGCGCATTGGTTATCATATTCTGCTAACTTTTCGCCTTATGCCATGGCAGGTTGCACTCTTATATCAAAAGGGTATAAGCGAACACTTAACAACCTTATGACATGCCAGGAAGAAACTCGTTTTCTCAAAAACGCTCCTATTTGAATGGCGAAACCAGTTTATAAACTAATGCATGGTGCGTGCTAAGCCAAACGCCCTTAGTGCTTATGGGTATGTCGGTATTTTTGTGCTCTGTAATAAGCCTCCGCGCGTTCTGTCGAGTGTTGATTGCAGAAGAATTTGCCACCAAATTCAAAAGACCGTTCGATCTAATATATCGCCTTGCGGTGAGTGCCACAATTAAGTTACTTTTACAAAGGCTAAGCATTGAATCGTTGGACGTTAAGGCTTATTTTTCCCAAATATTCACAGAAGAGAGCTTTCAGTTTCATTCAATAGAGCATTATTCTACAAAACATTGTTCATACGACGCAAGTGTACACAAAGCTACCTCCACTTATACGTATACGGCAAGGGTTTTGCATTGGTTTGACATCATTGCACGAATAAAGTTAGCCAGTTTTAATTTATTTAGGAGCTGGCTAAAATAGACCTTTCCAGATGTTGGAATCCACTAGTCTACATTGAAAACATTCTTACTGAATCTAAAGATCAGCACTGGATGTTTGCGAAAGCCGATGATGATGGACAAGTAGTCGTGACTGAAAGGAGACGTCTCCGAGCCATCTTTCTCGAAACCCTGGAACTTAACGACTTTCCTTTGGACGTGCAGGTAGGCATTTAGGTTATGTAGTGAATTTTTTCGCGAGCTTTCTTAAAGACAGTTACAACACGATGGTTTGGTAGCATAAAAATATGCTGCTTTTTGAATGTCATTCACCTACTAGTAAAATTGTTCGATTTATTGAAACAGAAGGCAGTAAGCAGTATCGCAGAATCGGAGAAGACACAGTTAAGCAAAACTCATGATTGAATTTCCCGTGAAACCCGTGGTGGCAGCACCTGATTAGCAAATGAGTTAAAAACTTAACAGAGTTACAAAGCTTCGAAATTGTTCACGAAACAAGAATGATTAACCATTCAGGCCCTGAGTTAAGAATTCACATGAATCTGACAGAACCTGGCACACGCTGCTTCTGTCGTCCAATGAAAATTGTTAATTTGAAAAACATGCAGAGGACGTTGGTTATATGCGGTTGAATTCATCATATTAAACTTAAGGTAACACTCTCACATTGTAAGCTGGAAGTCAACCGGTTACGAAAGATTTTCCGCATTGCTTAATAAAAATATTTGACAATTAAATATGCAGCAAACATTGTAAGTCGTTATGGTGTTGTTGGACAGGCCAAGTCGTGGCTGAGTAAGCGCACCTCCATGTGCGTTTTGGGCGCCTTAGGACTGAGAATGCCATCACGCGTACTTGTACATGCAATGTTTTAATGTGTGAATATGTTACTAATGGTCGAGCCGTTCAAGCCGAATTCCCCCTACTCATTGAGATGTTTAGGCACTAGAACAATCAACTTGCAGTAGAAGTTCGTCAATCGATTGTAGAAGTTCTCAATTATAGCCCATAAAGGAATTTTAAAGTCGGCACATTTTGGCTATTAAAATTTACTGCCTTAGTGATCCTTACTCAAAGGGCCTCACAAGACCTAAATTGAATGCATCGTTCTCTTCTGTGGTAGGATAAATTTTATTAACGTACTCTTGGTGATCAGGTATTACCCATCTCCGTTGACGGTTTGTGCTAAAATACACCATATTTATCATTTTTGCCTTCATAAGTTGTCAATTTTGATATCTACTTCTCAGTATACACGTCTGGAGATATTTTTTTAAAAATTGTTTCAGATGGACGAATTTGGTGAGAAATAACGTATTTGACTTGCGTGTTGATTTATGATCATTGTTAAATTCATCGAACGATATTCCTTTGTCAGTTTCAAAGATGACTAAACTTTAAACAGATTGCTCTTTTGAATCCTTGGTGATCAATTTATTATTTGAAGCCGGATTCAGTGAAAACCAACCAGTCGAATAAGTTTCTCTTTTACGCACTGGCTTGCAAAACGAAATATATTTCTATCTTAAGGATTTGACTATCACACTGTCATCTGAAAGACCAGATACCGAGGTCGATTTGGTTCCTGACAGTACGGACCTTTGTGGGATTAATCTGCAGACTTTCGTGGATCAGCAAGTTTGTACAATTGTATTTCTGTGTTTTTTTTAAAAATATCATTAAGGCACTTTCTTGAACTAAATATATGTAAGTTTGTGTTGTGAGTGATGAAAAAATGAATGTAATCTTTACAAAGTGGGCTTTAATAACTTGTATCTTGAACCTTTTCTATGTAGCTCGTCGTCAATTTTTAAACTAAGTAAGGATCTGTTCCTTTTACGCAGTTATATTTGACCTGAAAAGCTCTTTTCGATTGTCCTAATGGAATTAAAAATGACCTTTCATTTAACTAACTAGATCCTTCGTTTTACATATGACATTTTGCTGTTTGATTAGGGAAAATGCACGCCAGCTAGGTCGTGTTTAGTTTTTATAAGTTGAAAACTTTCTTTAATTGGAATCAAAGGAATTTGGGGCAATAGGAATTGTTGATTGTGGTTCGAATTTCATTAGACTTGTTTCTTACTGCCATTGTTTTGGCCTTCACCTTGCATCGTTCTTCACTTCGGTAGAAAGCGCCCCGTGTGCCCGCCGCGAATAGGTGAGGGCTGGAGCGAGGCATCTTTTATTCAATAACGCCTTCCCCCCTTTGTGGATCACAGATTCGCATGGTTTGTTACTTGAAAGCGAATCGCAAATGCTCAAATTTTAATTAAGGCGAAGCATTTAAAGTCTGGACATGAGCTTGTGATAATGAACAGTGCATGTAAATGCAAAGGAAGTTATGGAATGTCAGTAGTTTGGTAGATTCAAATATTACAAATGTAACAAGGATAATGAAGAAAAAACAGAGGATTCGTATTCTACCACTGAGCCAAATGTACAATACATTATCTAGTACGACCGCTAGTGCTTGAAAAAGCTCGTTTAAAATACGCACGCATTTTACAGGAATGGCGTCTTCATGAGCATATTGAGATAACGAAGCGATCGGTCATACAGGAATTCACGAGCTCTTCACAGAAGCACCCCTGCATCTCTGTGACCTGTCGGGCGGCAAGAAGACCCGGTTACTTTTATTGGAACGTTTTTCTCATTATGGTGAGTCCTGTACTTTTCCACACTGCTTGCGCATCAGCTGCAAACTCTGAGAAAGGATGCATCAGCTCTGTTGGAGTTAATTGGACTGTTCCTTTACACACCTGTTTCCTGTAGTGTCTTCTCTACCACGCATGTTGTCACCTGGATGAACTGAGTGCCTAGAACTCAAATTTTTACTAATATTTCAATCAGTAACTGTACAAATCACCCAGTCCCCTCAAAAGTTGCTGAAATTTTTATTTCCTTCTCCACAGTTTTTCATCACCGGTCTTTCATTTGCCACATTTTCGGTATCCGCCGAGCGACCAGAGAATCGTCTCCAACTCTCCTTCACTTTATTTCTCACCTCCGTGGCGTTCAAGTTCGTTATTAATCAGTCTCTCCCAAAAATATCGTATCTCACTTTCATGGTTAGTTCACCATCATATTTTAGCAAACATACATTAGCTCCCACTACTTGAAGGTTATTCAAGGGAACAAAACTCCACGTCAAAAACGGGGGTCACAGATATCTTAGTGTACATTATTAACAACCGAAAATTTTTAGCACTTCAAAATTCACCTAATGTTAAGGGGGTTTTTCTGGCTAAAAGATGAAAATGGGACTGTTTAATTAGACAATCTGAATTTGTCACGTGGAATTTTATCCACTAGTTAAACAGAGCATATGGTCACTTCAACTAATTACACAAATGAACAGGACTGTGTTGTGTAAATTCGGACTAACCAAATTAGTTTGGAAAATCTCTAATTTTATAATTCCCAAGCTTTTTACTTCCCTTCCATTACAGCTTTAAGTTAAGAAAATTATTTCCACCAATGAAGGCGTCGAGGGCTTAAGTATAGAAACTGTCCAATGCTGAGTCTTTGGTTTTAATGAGGCCTGTAACTCAAAGTCATAATCTGTAATGAGATTCAAATTACGCTAGTTTTATATTCGAATGAGAATATTTGGCCGAATGTTTCCATTATTAGCACCCTGCGTTTAAGAGATTTACGGTGATTGATATTGTTTGAAATAAAGGCAGAAGAACACCAGCACCAGAAGCAGTTTAAGCAGAGGAGAAGAAATTACCCAGTTATTCAAAAGGTATAACTGAGGATTTTGGGTGTTTGCCAAATAACTTTTCCTATCTCATTAAATGAAGTAAATAAGGACTGCGTTCAAACAATACACTATACGATCCTTGAATGTGTGTAAATAGTTCCGTATTTGAATACAGTAACATCATCTATAGCACACTGCTGTTACATTAGTTTTGGTCAGACGCTTAAGACTTTTTCAAAAGGATTTCACTGTAAAATAAATTCAAAATGAATTTAATTCTCCTGTTTAATTCCTGTGTGATTCCGTCACAGTAAAATCATAACCGTTAATCTTGTTGCTGCGGTCCTTTTTTCAATGATTTTGTAAGGAGGTTGGCGTTAAAAGTAAAATTAACGCAGGAATCTTTTCCGGGAAAGGATTCCTTATCTTTGGAGGTCACCATAATTTAAAAATAGTAACAGAGGCTATTTGCTGTGCTTAAAACTTAGTTTTTGAATTCGATGGTACTTTATTGAAGTGTATTCGCCCTATTTTGAATTGCACATAAAGCCTGGAATAAACCTTTGTTGGCAGGAATTTATTGAATCATTTCGGCTTAATGGATGCTTGCACTTACTTAAAATTAAAGCCCAACTCACTAAGTGAAATTCTTAACGACACTAAAGCGATTGATGATAGTATAAACCTTTGGGCCACAAGGATAGGTGCTCAACAGGATGCCAGTGCAGCTAAATTATATATTTACTCTAAATTCGCTGTTTGTACAATATATCCTACTGAAAGTTTTCAATTGCTTTGTCCTTAAGCGTCCTGGCAGGCCTGGCAAGCGAGATTGTACTTTATTTTCACTTGTGGTTTTTAGGATAAATATGTGTTGATGTCGCTAGCGATTCTGTGCAAAGTGAGCGTGTGGCATGCCATTGTAACGCTGGTGCCGGCTTACTCGCTGCCGGACCCAAGCCTTCCCAACGCCACTGCTCTGGACTGGAGCATCGCCTCTCTCTTACCCGACACACCGCAGGCACCCAACGTCAAGGCGTCTCACTCAACCTCACAACTTGTAGATCTCTTTGGACAGCTGCCCATTATCAATGTTTCTCTTAACTCGAACATTAATCCTCCAGTGAGTCTCAATTAGGCAAGAACAGATTGTCACGATAACGTTGATCGAAGTAGGGACAAAAGTCGAAATTTTCTGGGTTTCTTTGGGCTGAATTAGATTTATTGGGGTTTTCGTAGCACAATGCTGAACAAGACTACATTTTATCGGTCAAGTGGGTAGACTTTGATTGTTCCAGAGGAGCGTTCAGAGTGTATAAACCAAACTCGAGTTATCACCCAAACTCTGATAATACGGTTACTGAGAGCCTCAATAAATACAATATCGTAGATTTTCTTTACGCGATTTGTAAAGTAGAATTTCGCAGTAATATCACTCTAACGGACTACTAAGTTATGCCACAGATTCCATTTCATATAACTGCTCAAAACTAACATTTCAATTACCATTAACAGGCTTTGAAGAGTTTATTAAACTGCATTTTTGCTATAATTGTGGTTCTCTGTTTCCCGTTCCGGATATGTTGTGTATTTTGAGCTTTTCCATGATCAACAGTAACTTTTCTGAACCTCTGTCCAATCCATCTTGATTTTAGCCGAAAAATGTTATCACCACATTTAATTCCACTTCCGGTTTTCCAAACTAGCAGGGCTGAAATTGGCCTATAGGCTGTTCAAGCAAACAAATAATCAACTTGATGCGTGATTTCTACTGGAGGCCCTGTTTAAAAGATACGGCTAAATAACGAGATTACTTGAAGTCTTATCCTCGCATTTTTGCTAGCCATCAATACGTTGCAAGTCATTGATGCACAAGCATATTAATGGTAGTGTGCTTGTCCTATTTTCGAATATTTTTTGGTCCCTGATTTTTTCAGTTTATTCAAACCAATCTTGTTATGAGTTGTAAAAAAAGCTAAATCAAGAAACCCAGATATTCAAGCACTTTGTGGTTTAAAAAAGATTCACAATGTTGTTACTATTTCGAGGATGTCATTGAATCGATCCACTGCATCTTATCAATTATGTGGATTCACGACAACTTCTTTTAGTTATTGAAGTATTTGCGCAATTTGGACAATGAGAAATATTTTTGTAATAGATGGAACTTTTACATGTGGCTGGTATTCCCTGAGGTTCTGGTACAGACCATGACCAGAAAAGTCCAGTTAGATTTCTTATATTTCAGGCAATTAAACCACGAAAAGTGCTCTCTTTGTGGTGGTTTGAGATTTGTCCACCAATGAGTTGATAGCTTTGTCATGAATATAAACTCCGGATTGGCAGAAAAGAAGTGTTTTTCACCCAGCTGATTAGTCCGTTTTAATTTACTGCCAAAATAGCATGATCTTTTAATTGAAATTTATATATGGGAGCTTTCTGCAGACGCAGTGTATCTGCAACCAAATGAAACTACTTTTACAAATGATAGGATTCTCCCTCGTGATCCAAGAACGCGGAATTTGTGAATTTGTCTAACGAGCGAATTAGCGTGCATCGCTCAATATCTTCCACTAAGTTCTTAAATCAGGAGAAGGTGTTTCAAATAGGGAAAAAGTCATGTGCTGGATTTTACACAGTTTAATAGTAGGCCTATCGTGTTCTGTGAAAAGGGCTATATGGTTTTGTAATAATCTAACTTTATTGCTGTCAACTAATGTGTTTTTACTGTATATTAGCAGTCTAAGTTACAGATTAAGTAGTGGAAACTAATTTCTGATTTAGATTAGTCCTTCTAGATACCATCTGTTACATTTTGTTGCTTGGTTTTATTTAACACGAAGTCGTCATCGTTATTTAAAGACACTGGCCTGCGACTTGTGTAATCGACGCATACCATACAGTTAATTGTAGCTTTCTTTTCAAGCTTGGTATCGGCGTGGCCTTTGGTGGTTAAAGGTGACTTAAACCACATCTTTTAAATACGACAAAAAATACATGTTTGACTAAACTAAGGTATCAATTAAAAATTGATCCGAAACTTCCAATGCCAGCATGAAAAAATGAATAACAGGTGGTAGCGTTTGAGGCGTTTTGAGTGTGTCACGTGCTCAAAATAGAAATCTCTTTCTTTGCAGATCCTTCTGCCTCGGTACATGATTCCCTCTTGGGTGAATGATTCCTTCACTGAGGCACTGCGTGCTGACGCGTACGCGTCTGGGACGGATGGCGCTGACCGAGGTTTGTTTCGCACTTTGCAGCACTAGCTTCTCAACCAACGCTAACATCAGCATAGTGTACGAAACTGCATACTGGGTTATTTTACGGCGTGACGGTGCTCCTTCCGTGTTGACCCTCATGTGCTAATGAATACGTGGGAAAAAACACTTTTTTGTCCCTTTATAAGTTGCATATTTGTGGACGCGGGGTCAGTACAGATCCCTACATTTGGTTCCTAGAGGTCACTGCCGCTTCTATTTAAAGTTCATGAGACACAATATTTTTACCCCTGGCCAAAGTACACAGTTTTAAAAGATAAGTTTTAGTTCCTACAAATACTTCTCTCACCCTTCATGAATACTAACGACTAAATGCGACACGACTATTTAATCCTTGTACCAAATCAGTAGAAAAATGCATTCTTTAAAGGATTAGCCAAGGTTTTTACCAACCCTATTACTCTCCAATTTTGAACGTTAGAATTCATTTCTCAAACCTACGACGTTTGTAGTCCTTATCTTTATTTTTAACTTTGATAGTGTCATACAAGGTATTTGATCAAAGTTAAGATCCATCTTCAGCTCCTGATTTATTTTTACTGTTGTATTACATTAGATAACAATTAATTAAAACATGTTGCTATGTTTCAAACTCAGATTTAGCGGTGCTCCAAAGGGCAATTGACTTGACCCTCAAACGACGGCTGAAGGAGCGCCAAGACCTTCTTCGTCAGCGTCAATCCGACCTCCAAAAACTGGAGGAAGAAAGAACGGACCTTCTAAATAGGGTTGAGCGGGACGTGTTCATCGTCTTTTGCATTTTCTACATAGCCTGCCATCTGGTGTTCCTCTTTTCGTTTTACTTTGGAGTACGTTTTGGTCCGAAACCACCATTTTCTAAGTCTTTTGGATATTCTCATTTCGCGATTTTAACTAGCTAACTCACAAATACCATCTTTATGGAAATGCAAATGTTATTCAAGTGCTGCAAAATTTGTTCTGTTGGTTTTGTAGCTATTTTAGTCTCTTAAAATGTGTACGGATTGTTCGCCAATTCTTTTAAAAGATTGCAGGAGTCCATATATTGATTTTATGGTCGGCAGATTCGTGTCGTTTAGAGTCAACGGCACTTTTAATCCACAAAATAAATTTAAAAGCTTTTGTTGACTTAATACTGAAGGAAAAAAATGACCGCTTTACTAATGTTTTCATAAGAATTTTATCAGGTTTGTTGAGTTGGGATAAATTAACTCAAAGCAATTATAAACTGTCGAGTAGGAAAACAATGCTTATTATAGTTTGATGCTGGCCGTGACAATTTACTGTTCTGCTTTGCTGTTCTCATTGTTGTTTTTTTATGCAACTAATGGACTACAATGTTGTTAAGGCAAATAAACGGCGAAGAGAAATGGTGGAACGCGACAAGCAGTTTCGGGTGAGTGGGCTTTATCCTGTATGGATCGCAATGACTTCGAATTACTAACCTACTTTGTTCAGATATAAATTCATGGTTCTAATTTGTTTACGACTTTTTAACAAGGCTGAGTAAGCATACTTTCGAGTCACAGCATCCAGTTAGCTCAATCATATCAAAGATGATCTGTTCGGAAGCTAAAACCTGTCCATTTTAAGGAAGTTGAATTTTAAATAACTATGCACTGGCAGGTTATTTTGGTAGTTTTTTCATGTAACCAACTATGCATAACCCTTTTAAATAGTTTTCAACCACCATTTTTCTGCTGCATCCAGTTTCTGTACTTTGAAATGCAATATTTTTATCCTTAATTTTTCCTTGTTCGGTAACATTCGTACCAACAGTAGAACAGGGTAATTGTGGAACATAGGTCCTAATGTCTGCAAAATGACAATTTTTATTTAACGGATTGGTATCAACTTCTGCTTCTATTTTGAGGCGGATCTTTTTGCTTTTAGACGTGGTTGCGAAAAAGGCGTGAAAACCCCTCGGCATCAGGACCCCAGCCATTCATTAAAATTGGACCCTGTATTTCCAGACGAGTTTAGGCGTCTGCAAAGATTTCTGCTGACACTTAAGTTCAGTGTGTTCCATCTACACTGTAAAATGCATTAATAAGATGTGACAATTGTTTTCATTAGATGAAATTTTTTTGTATTTCAAAAGAATTAAAGTGAAATTTCTTTCAGCTGATTTGTTTTGTTCTGTTTTTGGAGGATAGCTTATCATCCAATTATAACCACATTGCTGTTTTACACGCCTCAAACCTTTTCCGACAGTTCATCGCATATTCCTTGTACATATCCCCCTGATCTTACTTGAACCGCATTGCTTCTGCAACCAATACATGCACCCACTCACATATCGAAGCACTTAAATGCAATATTTCCAGTTATTGGCTTTGACCATTCCATCGTATTTTCTCTTTATCAATTTCAATGCTTCGATGAGTAACTTTTAGATGTCAGAAAGTGATATTATTTAGTAACTCGTTGGCTTTGAAAGACATTTTGGTGTTAGCAAGTCGTACACGGATTCGCTACAAGTGTGCGCGGTTTTTTTCAATGTCATCTGGTCCGAACTTA